GGCACTTTGCTTGATACTGGCTGCCAACTAGACATGGAGCCATTGATCACTACCCGTTGAGCCCGACAATCTAGCCAATTTTCTATCCACCTTATAGTGCATTCATCCAGCCCATACTTCTTTCACTTGCTGACAAGAATACTGTGGGAGACAGTGTCAAAAGCTTTGCTAAAGTCAAGAAACACCACGTCCACTGCTTTCCCTTCATCCACAAAACCAGTTATCTTTCTTGAGTGATAAGAGCTAATTTAGACCCCATCATTTTATATGTATAGTTGGGATTATGCTTTCCAATGTGCATTACTTTGCATTTATCAACATTAAATTTCATCTGCCATTTTGTTGCCCAGTCACCCAGTTTTGAGAGATCCTTTTGTAGCTCTTCGCAGTCTGACCGTGTCTTAACTATCTTTAGCAATTTTGTATCATCTGCAAATTTTACCACCTCACTGTTTACCCCTTTTTCCAGACCATTTATGAATATGTTGAATAGGACTGGTCCCAGAACAGACCCCTGTGGGACACCACTATTCACCTCTCTCCATTCTGAAAACTGACCATTTATACCTATCCTTTGTTTTTTATCTTTTAACCAGTTACCAATCCATAAGAGCACCTTCCCTCTTATCCCGTGGCAGCTTACTTTGTGTAAGAGCCTTTGGTGAGGGACCTTGTCAAAGGCTTTCTGAAAATCTAAGTACACTATATCCACTGGATCCCCTTGGTCCACATGCTTGTTGATCCCTCAAAGAATTCTAGTAGATTGGTGAGGCATGATTTCCCTTTACTAAAACCATGTTGACTCTTCCTCAACAAATTAGGTTCATCTATGTGTCTGACAATATTGTTCTTTATTATAGTTTCAACCAGTTTGCCCAGTACTGAAGTCAGGTTTACAGGCCTGTAATTGCTGGGATCACCTCTGGAGCCCTTTTTAAAAATTGGTGTCACATTAGCTATCCTCCAGTCATCTGGTACAGAAGTTGATTTAAACCAGGGGTCGGCAACCTTTGGCACCCGGCCCATCAGGGTAAAGCCACTGGCAGGCCGGGCCAGTTTGTTTATCTGGAGCATCCGCTCTTTTTTGGTTCTCTCACTATGTTTTTTAATTTGGGGTATACATTTAAGTTGAGCCTCTATTATGATGTCTTTTAAAAGTTTCCACACAGCTTGCAGAGATTTCACTTTTGACATTGTACCCTTTAATTTATGTTTAACTAACCTCCTCATTTTTGTGTAGTTCCCCTTTCTGAAATTAAATGCTACAGCGTTGGGCCGCTGTGGTGTTTTTCCTGCCACAGGGATATTAAATTTAACTCTATTATGGTCACTATTACTAAGTGGTCCAGCTATATTCACTTCTTGGACCAGATCCTGTGCTCCACTTAGGACTAAATCAAGAATTTTCTCTCCTCTGGTGGGTTCCAGGGCCAGCTGCTCCAAGAAGCAGTCACTGAAGGTGTCAAAAAACTTTATCTCTGCATCCCGTCCTGAGGTGACATGTACCCAGTCAATATGGGGATAATTGAAATCCCCAATTATTATTATTGAGTTTTTTATTTTAATAGCATCTCTAATCTCCCTGAGCATTTCACAGGTGATTGGTAATATATCCCTACCGCTATATTCTTATTATTAGAGCATGGAATTTCTATCCATAGAGAGTCTATAGTACAAAGTTTGATTCATTTAAGATTTTTACTTCCTTTGATTCTACGCTTTCTTTCACAGATAATGCCACTCCCCCACTAACACGGCCTGTTCTGTCCTTCGAATATATTTTGTACCCTGGAATTACTGTGTCGCATTGATTATCCTCATTCCACCAAGTTTCTGTGATGCCTATTTTATCAATATCCTCATTTAATACGAGGCACCCCAGTTCACCCATTTTATTATTTAGACTTCTAGCACTGGTATGTAAGCACTTTAAAAACTTGTCTCCTTTTAGCTGTCTGCCATCACACGATGTAATTGAATGGGACTCTTTTTTATTTGACTGTTTCTCATCAGACCCTGACTGTATTTTAGCATTTTCTTGTCCTCACTAGGACATAAAGATATCCTGAGAGATAACTCCTACTGCATTTAGTGTTAGTATCCCCAGTTTCATTTCACAAAGAACACAATTCTTTTTTCTCTGGGATTTCACAGTTCTCCTTTGTTGTTTGTTGATAAGGCGAGGAGAGGTCCTGGCAGGCATCAGTATTCCCTGGAGTGCAGAGTCATTCTTTTCCATGAAATGTTGTTTTGATTGTGGAGTTTTCTGCATTGCTTTCCTCTCTTTCCTGTCCTACTTTGTAAACAACTTAACATTTTTATACACATACACACACTTTATAAAGAACTTCATGTCCTACAACCCATCCAGATTTCTTAAGTCTTTCAAAAGGCTGCAGATGTTACTCTCAGTAATTGAGAGATGAGAGTTCAAAGCTCAGTACATTGCCAGATTAAAAGCTACTTTAAATTGGAGTTAAATTATTGATTTGTTCTCAATCTAAGGGCAAAAACATTACAGGGATGTTGTAAATTATCCCCCAAAAAAGCCGTACAAATCCTGGATATTTAGATTTAAGCTTCCACTTAAAAGAGAGTGGTTTTGGCCCCAGGTTAGATTAAATTGATTTTTAAAGACAAGTTAGATTTTTTTTCCTGCTTTGTTTCTCTTATCACTCCAGAGTGGTGTTACAGTTTGCTGTGCATTTCCAAGTCTTAACGTGTTTGGATTTCTTTTAACTTCAGCTCTGAATTCTTGAACTTAGAATGCTTGTTTAGTTCAACACTTTAAAAAAAAATTGGATCAATGGTAATTTTTTGCAGTTATTCTTCATAGCTGAAAGTTTCTTCTTCAAAGATGAAACTGAAAGGACTAAAGAATAATGTTCTTCAGCAGAGAATTCCATGAAGAACTGCTCCTCTAGCAAAATTGCTGCCAAGTCTCAATGAGACTTGTTACAGGTAAACAGATCATGAGAGGGATACTTCTATGGACAGCAAAGAGAAGTTGTCAGACTACCCAGGGAAGGGTCAGATTGGGGACTTTATTTCTAGAGGTATGAGATTTTCCTTTCTCTATTCCTAAGAAAAGGAAAGCCTGCTTCATTGGGCTTTGGAAAGGATTTAATTAAGGTATGTTATGCAAACCATTTATTTTGTTTTTACGACTATTCTCTTTCTCTTTGTAATACATCTTGTTTTCAAGACAATTGCTGTTGTACTGTGTGACTCCATGCAGAAATCTACAAGCGATGAGAATCCCAGAAACGGGTAAGAGATGTGGAGCATGACCTCCCTCCCCCATTTTCTCAGTCAGAGGGGGCATGCCAAGGTGTTCTTTCTCATTAAATTTACCACAAAGGGCTGCAGGTGGTGAATACAAGAGAGAAGCCTAAAGACCCAGGAGGAGACATGTGTGGACAGGGGTGAGGGTGACACCTATACAAAGAATCTTCAATGAGAGATTCTCTAACATCTCCTCCAACATTCTGTTTGATTTAAGGATACTTTTTAAATCCTTGGTCAGTTTTTGAATACCATGAAGAAATGGCCAATGACTAGACCCCTGAGATAGTGTGAACTCCTACCCTGTGGTCATTCTGCAAAAGGCCTACAAAGTATTAAACCTTATTTTTACTACTGTCAAAATGGCTGACTTACAAGAGCTTCAAAAAAAAGTCAGTGAAATTGAAATCTGAATTTTTAGTCATAGAGGTTTTCACTATGTTCCCTTCTCTTCTGTGTTTGCTTTTCACAAAGATTCAGGAATGATCGCATAAGCAACCAATTTTAAGTCAACGTTGCAGACTATTAATAAAAAGCTAAAGCTTTTTAATATTTATATTATATTATATTATATTATGCTAAATATTTTCACCAGACGTCCGATTCTAAATTATGGTCATCCAGTCAAAGAGCAGAAGTGTATTACATGCCCTAGACATCTAATCAAAACAGCTCAGTTTGAATTTCAGATATGGAATATTTACAAAAACTGCTCATGAATAAGCCAGCCGCAGACCAAGAATTTGTTTCAGAAATTATTTGGCAAATTATTTTGAACAGCAAATAACTTTGAAATAATGAAGAAAATCATGGACAATATGGAAACAGAAAAAGCCACAAAATGCATCTGTTTGATTTATCGCTCCAGGAGATGCCCCCAAGGTGTGTGTGCTGACTTACTGTTTGTGAACAAGTCGCACCAATTGTGAAAAGTGAAATTCTCATTTAAAAAAATCCTCTTAAATGTTTAATCTAGGTTGTTAGCAAAACAGTTAAATACATGTGGTTTGATGGTGCAACTGCTACTTTTGAAGTTTATTGTTCAAAATTCTTTGGCCCGTCCATTCCCCCCAACCCTCCCCGCCAAAAAAGCCTAAGAGAAAAGTTATGTTATACTGAAACTAGAGGAGAGTAAACAGGGAACTGAATGATTCAGGGACTAAGTCAAGGGCCTTTTACTTTTGTGACAATAATTAAGAGTCCCAGCTCTAGTACAAAGTGAAATCGATTGAGTGGTCTGAGGTTCTGACCCCCGGTGGGTAGCAGCTAGCTGTACAAACAATGCATAAGATTCTGGAAGGATTTAGGACAACTGGCAGTTTGTGCTCACTAAAGACATGGGACTGAGGTGGAATGCAGAATAAACCACCTCTCATGTGTGCAGAGGGTGGTCTTCCCAAGTCAAGGTTAATGGCATTCATGCAGGGAGTGTGGGAAAGCATGCATTACTGCTACCGTTGCCACAAATGGCCTGTGAATAGATTAAGATTCCGTTTCCATAACAACGAGTCACTTAATCTAAATGAACAAAACTGTATTTAAAAAACAGAAACAAAAATTCTATACATCATCTTAACAACATACAAAATGCTTTTGTCCCAACAGCAAACCAGGGAGAAAGAAAGAGAGGGAATGTGTGTATGTAGTAAACACACATCCTCCAAATGAAGTCTTCTAGGGCTTTCTGTTTACCAGTAATTAGTTTTCAGGACAGTGCCAATGGCACCAAGTCCTTGCAAGTAATTAACTGCAGTTTTCTGGCTGAGTATTATTACCCCTCTGCAATTATAGCTAGAAGACAAAACACAAGGAGCCAGCAAAAGGCTACATTCTGTTTTTTCGCTAAAACTTTGTTTACTCACAGACCCACCATGAGCATTGTTTCTCTGTTTTTAGGACTCATCTGTGGACTGCTGTTGATGTTTTGTTCTTACTTCCCAGGGGCAGGGAAATGCCAGTTTATCTGGGGAAGAGATGAACAGTTAAGCAAGGCCATCCTGGAAATGCTACATATCAATAAGTTATCCATACCTCTCAGGACCAAACCTCACCACTACATGAAGTTAGTCTATCATCTACGAAATCCACCAGCCTTAAACAGTGAAGGGACTCTTGTGCAGAGTTTCAGGAGAATCCAAGGTAGGAAACTGACCACTATTTATTTGTGATTTACATCATATATTGAATAACTTTAAACATTACCATGATAAACAATTCCTAAGCGGAAAAAAATATTGCCATTTTGAAATGCTTTCCTTTTAAAAACAGGTTATCCAATAGATTTTCTTTTTTTTTTTTTTCCTTCTTCTTCATATCATTAATGACATTGCTTTTATAAACCTATTACTTTACCATTTCAATATCTGCTTTATACATTTTATAAGACACAGCATTTGTTTTGAAGGATCTCTCTGCAGTCTCCAAGGCCGGAGTTAAATAAAAAGGGCTAGGGCATCATTTTCTTTCAAGTGACTGCTTTGAGGAAAGAGCAGTTAAGAAATGAGATGCTACCTTAACTCCCAACCAGCTAAACTTCCGTCACCAGTTGAAATTACCTGCACATGTCAGTCTTATGGAGCACTATTTATCTATTGCCAAGACAAACCACATCAAAAAAAGTCCTTACTCACATTACTAACAACAGTTGATATTTTAAAAAACGAGTTTTTAAAAATCTCATTTACTTGTCACTATTTATCCAGTTTGTTTACTTTGTGCTTGTCATGTTGCTTGGGCAGTGAAACCAGAACGGCATGTGTATGTTGAGAATATAACTATTAAGGCTGATGGTTCAGAAGTCTGGAGATTTTATGCAAGTAACTTAACACCCTAATTTGCACACTTGATGACTATATCTAATCTTGTTACATGAAAGACAGCAAATGGCATGATTACCAGACAGAAGCCTGGCAAGGTTACAGCATAAAAAAAAGTTTCAGGAATACAGAAATCGCTTCAGAGTGGTTCTGGCATCTCCCTGGGTCCGTGTCTAGATAATTCTGGGGCTTATTTGGCTACTTCTTGTCCTGGGCCAAGTAAAGGTCTGTGGTTGGAGTTACCACTACCCCTTGGTCCTGGCTGTTGCTTGCCCTGTGCTGGGGAGGGGAACTAGATGCTTTCTGCCATCAACTGGGGGATGCTCTGGTTGGGATGCTGGCCCTCAGCTGAGTCTCGCTCTGGCTGCTCTTTGTCCCTTGCTTCCTGGCTATAGGGCGTGGAGGGTGGCTCAAGCCCTGGCTGTGGCTCCTGCTTCCTGTGACAGCTTACAGGCCCTTGTACTCGGAGATACTGGGCAGTGCTCTACCCATCTATCACTCTAGCTATAAGTCTATGGCCATGGTGGATTATGCTGTAGAGTACGTTTCTAGGGTTAGAGTCCTGGAGGACTCCAGACAGAAATCCCATGCAGAGAAGCCCTAACCAAAGAGACACGGCTAAGAGTGTCTCCTCAGGTCTCTAAATTAGGATTGACCTCCTGGGCTAAATACAAACATAGTGCTACCTGGAACGGGTAGGCTGGAGTGGGGCTAACTCCCACACTACAAGTGCCAATGTCCCAAAAGGGCACGGACATCTGGCGTGGAGGTAGGGGTAGGCTCCAGGTCTCCTGCACACATGCTGTTGTCAGCACTGCTCCATTTTAGAGCAGCTGTTAAAAGCACCGCTGAGCATCCTATGCCTCATTGTTCTGGGGTATTGTGCTCTGAACCAGTAAGGGCCCTCAGGCACCCTAGGTAAATAAATGCTGCAGAGATGAGATCTGAGTGAATAATCTAAGACAGGTGGGAACCATCTGAACTTAACCTGAGTCATAGCATACCTGGGAAAAGAGAAATGGGATATTTACAGTGCCACATGTCTTGGGCTTCCACATGGATGGGTGAATGACATGGATGAGGGAAGAAGGTGAATTATCTGGCAAGGAGAGTCACACATCATCCACAGTCTTCCACATAGTGATTGGTGTGGGCCCTCTTCAGTTTTGGACCTGGCCAAACTGACTAGTCTGGGTCCAGATAGTGCATCAGTCCTAGAAACTGGGTGGGCTTCTTCTAATCTATGGTATCAGATTGGACTCTGATGACCTATAAAAGGACATCCTTTGTGCTGGTGAGGCGGAACATAGTGTCTACAGTGTAAGACTAAGGTCCTGTCCACACCAGGAGCCTAACTGGGCTCTGAAGCTATTTATTTCCTACAAACTCTCTTCCATTCCTGCTGTTGTATCCTAGAAGTTAACTAACTAATGCTCCAACAGTCCATCCCCATCCTGCTCAGGGTCCAGTGCACTGGTTAGTCCTGGGAGAATGCATTTTAAGTAGGGCTATCGCGCGATAAAAAAAATTAATCGCGATTAATCGTGTGATTAACAGTGCAATTAATCGCAATTAATTTTTTAAATGACACTAGAATACCATTTATTTTAAATATTTTGGATGTTTACTACATTTTCAAATATATTAATTTCAATTACAACACAGAATCCAAAGTGTACAGTGCTCACTTTTTATTTATTTTTGATTACAAATATTTGCACTGTAAAAAACAAAAGAAATAGTATTTTTCAGTTCACCTAATACAAGTACTGTAGTGAAATCTCTTTATCATGAAAGTTGAACTTACAAATGTAGAATTATGTACAAAAAAACTGCATTCAAAAATAAAACAATGTAAAACTTTAGAGCCTACAACTACACTCAGTCCTACTTCTTGTTCAGCCAGTCGCAAAGAGAAACAAGTTTGGTTACAATTTACAGGAAATAATGCTGCCTGCTTCTTGTTTACAATGTCACCTGAAAGTGAGAACAGGCGTTCTCAAGGCACTGTTGTATCCAGCATTGCAAGATATTTGCGTGCCAAATGCGCTAAAGATTCATATGTCCCTTCATTCTTCAACTGCCATTCCAGAAGACATGCATCCATGCTGATGATGGGTTCTGCTTGATAACGATCCAAAGCAGCGTGGACTGATGCATGCTGATTTTCATCATCTGAGTCAGGTGCCATTCACATCGGTACCTTCTTTGCGTTTTGTCAAATCTGCTGTGAAAGTGTTCTTAAAATGAACAACATGTGCTGGGTCACCATCCGAGACTGCTACAACATGAAATATATGTCAGAATGCGGGTGAAACAGAGCAGGAGGCATACAATTCTCCCCCAAGGAGTACAGTCACAAATTTCACTGACGCATTATTTTTTTACGAGCTTCATCAGCCTGGAAGCATGTCCTCTGGAATGGTGGCCAAAGCATGGAAGGGGCATACGAATGTTTAGTATATCTGGCATGTAAATACCTTGCAACGCTGGCTACAAAAGTGCCATGTGAACGCCTGTTCTCACTTTCAGATGACATTGTAAATAAGAAGCAGGCAGCAGTATCTCCCATCAATGGAAACAAACTTGTTTGTCTTAGCGATTGGCAGAATAAGAAGTAGGACTGAGTGGACTGGTAGGCTCTAAAGTTTTACATTGTTTTGTTTTGAGTGCAGTTATGTAACCAAAAAAAACTACATTGGTAAGTTACACTTTCAAGATAAAGAGATTGCACTTCAGTACTTGTATGAGGTGAACTGAAAAATACTATTTCTTTTGTTTATCATTTTTACAGTGCATATATTTGTAATAAAAATAATAACAAAGTGAGCTCTGTGCACTTTGTATTCTGTGTTGTAATTGAAATCAATATTCAAAATGTAGAAAAACATCCACAAATATTTAATAAATTTCAGTCGGTATTCTATTGTTATAAGTGCGATTAATTGTGATTAATTTTTTGAGTTAATCGCATGAGTTAACTGCGATTAATTGACAGCCCTAATTTTAAGCAATGTGTCCTTTGACTTTCCATGCCCAACTGACAATAAGATGCTACTTTTAATTGGTGATCAGATAAGAAACAAATATTCTCCCCCATCTGGGACGATTTAGTAGATTTATTTAGAGCCAAACTCAGCCTGCAGATGTGTGTGCCAGTTGTACTGATCTTGATGGAGCTGGCGTGCATATAGCTGAGTGTGGAATTTGGTTCTCAGGAACCTAAGGCACAGATATAACAGCCAGTTTGTACGAAACAAGATCATCTTAGCTTATCTTAAACAAATAAGCATATGAAATAAAACAGAGAAGAAAAACTATTAGCGAGCAAGAGAGTTGCAGGGAAAACAGACAGAAGAGTTTAGTGAAACCCACTCGGGACCTTAGACCTTGGCTGACATCCAAAGTACTGTCTTAAATGAAATAAAAATTAGGCATACACTGACGTGGTTGGAAATCTCTGTTAAAAAATAATAATAAAAGGAGCCAAATCTGAGCTGGCAGCAAAACCAGGCTGCACATCTCTCTCCAGAACGGTTGAACCAGTGAGATCATTAGCAAGGTAAGACCATTACAGCAATGCCATGTTTCATTAAGAGCCTGTAAACATTTCTGTTTTATCAATTGAGTGTCAGGGAGGTACAATTTAGCCATTAAAAACAAACAAAATATGTTGCAAGTTGAAACTTAAGCCCATGCAAACAAATTTGTGACTTCAAACAATTCTTTTAATAGACGTGTTTACAAATATTCACAAAGGTCATACTAAAGTTACTAAAAAGAAATAAAATATCGTCTGGAAATTTACTGATTTCAAGGTCATAGCATGTTTCTAAATAAATACAGATTTTTTATTTGAAGTTACATTTTGCATCAATATTTTTAAAGTTTTACAAGGGTTGGGCCAGATTCACTGGTACACCCTGACTTTAAGCCACTCGAGTGCCTTAAAATAGGTTTGTGGTGACTTACTGTCATGAGATCAGTGCAAATCAACCAGAGCATACTTGGGTACCTGGCCCTTGGATTTCATAATATAGTTTTACTCTGTTCCCGCACGCTTCAATAATTAATTGGTTTTGTAAAATGCACCTACTGAGAATTTCTAGGTACACACACAGAAAGAAAATCACAGTTTAAAGTAAGTGAACTGACACAACGTCAACAACAAAAATCTCATGATACAACAAAACTCAGTCCTCTCTCCCTTAAACAAGAAACTCATCTCCCCTCCCTGCTCTTTCTCAAAAGCACCTCTTTCAACAAATCAGCCTCTTAGTGAAGCAAAACACAAATAGGTCTTTCACAATGCCCTGAATATCAACAAACTTGGGTTCTGTTGAATTATTGGGGAAAGAAAATTCCAGAGCCAAGGGCCCTCATCCTCTCCTTCATCTCCCTCCTTGCCCTCCTGTCTACCCACCCACTCTGCTCCACTGAAACCACTACCACCACCACTGCCTCAGTTTCCCCTTTAGCTTCCATGTCTACATGTTCCATGAATGAAATAAAATTTTACATTTATTGTTCTCCTAGATCCAGATTTTGGCATTCCAGGATGGCTGTGGTTTAATATTTCTTACCTGAAACCTTCCATGAGGCTTGCAGAATTAGTTCTTCTCCGGAAGACTCTACACCCAGAATCGCTGACAGTCAATGTTACTGTGCACAGTATCTCTGTGGTCCAGGGAAATATCACAGAAAGCAAAGCCTTAGATGAAAAAGTGCTGATGTTAGATGAGCTACCACCATCTGGTTATGATGTCTTTAACATTTCAGCCATTTTGAATGAGACCACCTCAGATGTCATAGGCTTTCGGCTACGATTCACGGATGACAGTGGCAGCTTGGTTCTCCATGAAGCTCTGACTAAGAGCCTGTACTGTTTGAACAGATGCACCCAGAGTGAGCCCTTACTGGTGGCTTATCGCTTCCTGGTGACCGAGCTATATGGTGGAAGTAAACAGCAGGCCACTAGAGAATGCCAACACTGCGCTACAGAGAGAAGGAGAAACTTGCCAGAAGATTCCAGGCTACAACAGTGCAGCCGTCAACAACACTATGTGAACTTTCAGACAATGCAACTGAGCCACTGGATTCTGGAGCCTCCTGGCTTCTTCACAAGTTTTTGCAAGTAGCCACTTTTTAAATCTCTTCAATGAAGTAGGAATGTGCAAGAGTTCCAGTAACTGTTGGCTATGGGAAGTCCACTCAAATGATTGGAAAGTCAGTGTGTACCAGGTATGTCCAGCAGCACATTTGCTGGATATACCTGTTACGTTTGGCATTTAGAGTAGGAATTGGGGGTTAAAATGCCACATCTTTTCACCTTGAGAGAACTGGGTTCAGATTTGGTCACAACAGTTCAGTAATATGCTCTCAGTGTGGGGCCAAATGGGCAAATATAGATGTCTTAATGAACCCACTGTTTAGCAGGGTTGTCAGTGTTTAGAAACCAAACACTGGAACAGCATGGGTGTGACAGCAGTGAAGTTCTGATCCGGCTTTAGTCAAGCATCCACCTACTAGCTGAAACACAGAGTACATGGTATGATTTACTCAAGCGGCATAATTTCTGAGATATAGTGGTTAATGTAGCCACAAAGTGACATGGTTTATAGAGTGGCTGCACATACCAGTTTTGTCTTTACTTTTCTGCAGTAAATCTGTTAAAACTCTTACCTAGGCACATGCATTGTCCTGCAGTAGCGAAAGGGATCAATGAGGCCTAATACTAATCCTATTCATTGCACTCACTTACTGGAAGATAAGAAAAGCAGAAGCTGCCTCTCAGATTTAACGAGAGTATCACAAACTATGCTTAAGCACCTAAATATAGTTCCATTTTATCTGTCCTTAGTCAAAAGACCAAGTGAGTTCACTTCTCTTAACCCAGAATGTTTTAGCTGTCCTTATGTATCTAATCCTAGGTCAATATATGAGCAATGTAGTATAGTTTGTCATAACTGAAACTCTATATTTTTGTGAGGCAAATTCTTCCACTTCAAGGCAGCTGGGGAGAGGGAGGGAGGGAGGGTATGAGGTTCAAGTCACTGGTCAGTCCAATGGAAAGAATTTGACTTTAGGGATGAATGTGAGCCTTTAGTCTACACTTTCAAAAAGTTATTCTCTTGCCCTTACAAATGCTATTTATAAGACTACTTCAGTAAGACAATAATGTCCTCCATTTGGTATATTGGCTAAAACCCTTGAATCATATTATTGAATCTCATGTTATAAAAATACATTCAGCTGCAGCAGAAACTAATATGACTTTTAAAAAACTAACTATATATTTGTGGATAATCTAAGCACTATACCCAGATGTACAGACACTCTTTCCCCAACCTATGTATTATATATATATATATTTTTAATACTAGCTTTGATAAAATGTTTAAATCTTTTCTTTAAGAGGAGAATGCTCTTACGAAGAATCTGGAGAGCTCTCTGAAGCACATCGGGGTGTAATAAATAAAACAGAAAATTGGATGAGGTAATACATTAAATAGGACATAGATACCTATAGCCTTAATAAAAACAACACGTAGCCCAATTCTACAGCCGCTGCGTGGAAGCACGTCTCAATGAAATTAAGAATTGGGTTTATGACATTTACAAATACCAGTCTGCTTGAATAACAGTAGCACAACACAGGGAGAAAAAGTGTTAACTGGCCCCAGAAATAGCTTTAACCTCTAGCTGGAATTTTCAAAGGGGCTCAAGACAGACAAGTGCCCAACTCCTATTGAAAGTTAATTGAAGCTGGACACCTAACACCCATAGTTCCTTTTAAAAAACCAGGCTTCAATATTGATCATTCAGAAAATAATTGACATGTGTTTGGACAAACATTACTGAGAGCTGGTAAGAACCAGCAAAGCAACTGGATTTTTTTTTTAAAGTAAAGTAATGAGAAACATGTGGGCTTTCCATAAGTGAAGTGCCATTCACAGTAGAAATGGGCACAAACCTCTCAAAGTTTGCGGGGATTCAGTCCACATTTTGGGGTGTGTGGATCTGGAGGGGTTTGTTCAGGTTCAGTTCTAATTCATACATAGGAGCCGACTTCCGATTTTCCGGGGTGGGGTGCTCTCTACCAAAACCCGCCCCCACTCCACCCTTTCCCCCAAGGCCCCACCCCGTCCCACCTCTTCCCGCCCCTCCCCCTGAGGATGCCCCATAGAGAACTGGTGCCTTCCCATACTGGGGGGTATGATCTAAAGGAGAAGTCATGTGTTCCCCCCACATGTTCCACCACTCTCCCTGGGGCCACCATGCTCTCCCCACCATGTTACCTGCAGGGATGGGCGCTCTGTCCTTCGGCTGTGCCTGCCCACCCCCGCCTCTCTCCCTGGCAGGGGAGAGCCACTTCTAATGCCTCCCAGTCATTGCTCTGCAGCTGCCTGAGAGAGCAGGGATGGGGAGGTGGCTTCCACTTCCTGCCCAGGATCAGCTGCCCAGGACCGCGGCTGAGCATGCCAGAAACCTGCCCCGGGCGGGGGTGGGTGGGGTGGTTCCAACTCGCCAGGCTGTGATCTGGGGTTTTGGGGGGTGGGAGGGAGCAGGGGAACGATTCATAACTTTCCTTGCTTCTCCAACTGGCAGACCTTTTTTTTTTTTTTTAAGTAGGTCCTGTAGTGTACAGTAATGTGTGGAAGTAGCAACAGAAATTTCAGGCAAGCTCCTCAGCTAGTGTAACTGGCATAATGCCACTGATGGAATTACACCAATTTAGAAGCCAGATTTTTAGCTGGTGTAATTGCTTGTTTCAGCTCTATAATTTGATATGGCAAATTTGGATCAATATAGTATCTTGAGATTATTTCCCCTCAAATAAAACTAATTTCAGATGTGTTTGGTTTTTTGCTTGCAGTTCCCACTGTGTGCCCCAGAAGCGATCCTCCATTAACGTGATGTACTTATCTCATTCAGAAGACCTTGTGATTGAAAGGCTGAAGGATCTGCGAGTAGAAAGTTGTGCATGTAATCAGATGTTTTGATAAAGTCTAGGTCTCTAGTCATCCCTAAAGATTTGAAGTCTTTGTCACTACAGAACGGGAACTTTATAGTTTCAGGGTGCTAAAATGGAACCCTATAATCTTTGAGATGCCCTGTTCCTCTGTAAAGAGCCAGTTAGATGTGTAGATATCATAGTCTGTACAGCAGATGATACCCAACAAACTAAATGTATCAAAGAATGGCTTGAGATTGCATATAAATTACAGCTAAATGGTTTAACCAAGGAGACCTTCAAATTCACAATACAACATTGTCACTACATCATATTCAGATTACCTTTTGCCTGGATTACTGTGGCATGCCATTGAGAATAAATATATTCCTGGTGACCTTTATCAGTATTTGTTCCAGGTGGAAGAAAAGGACCATGTTCAGGCTTTTTCCACATTAAATTTGAAAACCTCATTATGTATGGGGGAGTAACCACTATCCCATGAATAACTGAAAGAGGACAGGGTACAGCATGTTTTAATATAAAGTGTCATTGTTAAAGTACATCCTTACCACAGGGCCCCCTTTGCAGTGTTGTGCCTTGCAGCAGCCACTTAGCTTCAGTTTCCCAGCTGATCTGCTGCTCCACCCAACCTACCCCACCTTCTGTATCAAAAAGGCTTAGCCCTGAGGCAAGGTCACTTACAGTTCTGACCCTTCTGGCAAACAAGCATGAGCAACACAAACTTTTAAAAACTCTTCCCTTTTCTCCAGGGGAATCTGCTAAACCCTATTCTCCCCTGTCCCCAGCCCACCTTCTCTCCCACAGCAAAAGCAGCAGCCACCTCCTTTCCCTCCTTCCGTCTAGCCCTAACTACTCTCCTCTGCTACAGGTGCCTTCATTTAGGCTGATTGAGCTTTCAGTAGCCCATTAATTCTGTCCAGTGATTTACATGTACAGATTCCCCAGACTATAGGGCCTGATACTGCATCACTTAACACATTGGGAACTCTTCCTATGAATTGAGTCTATTCCTTGCTAGGCAACTCGTTATTAACTCAATTGGGAACTCTGCTTTTCTCATGGTCGATTTTCATAACTAAACTGTGACATGTCTGAGATGTGTTAACAATGTATACTGTGTATCAGACTTTGTTTAGATGAAATACCTTAAGAGGTATTAAGAAAAAGGAGTGGATTTTTTTCTGGTGGGGGGTGTCACTTAACTCTGAATATCAGGATAATGTTCCTGTTCATTCTAGAGTTCACTGTAATCCTTTGTAATTACTTACACATAATATTTTTACAAAAACAGGAACAAATCCCAGGGACAATGTGGCTGATGTTTTTCCTTTGTCATAGCTGTAGCTCCTCTGACAACAGAAAGGTATTTTTTAAATTAAAGGTTGATTTAGAAAACAAATATAGTCTGATTGGTGTCTGTGCAAGACTGCAAATGACATTTTAGAGATTTGAATGCTGAAGAACCAGGCAGACTTTTAAAAACAAAAACATTCAACTTGTAAACCAGAAGTTAATCTTTTTCAGGAGTATAATAAGATGGTTAAAATGAATGCAGCCATAATAAAATAATTTTATATTTATATAGTGCCTTTCATCCTAAAGGATTCACTAACAGTTTAAAAACTATGGGTCTATCCTGACAACACGTAAGCACAAAAGTAATTTTTACTCACATGTGCAATATCATTGAAGTCAATTGACCAAACAACAAAAGGCACAAGGGCCCCCCTCCTTTGTTAGATGCTATAAGCAAATTTAAAAAACATGAAAACTCATTCACACTGACCTATAAATCTGAATGTTTAGATTGATAGAGATATGATTTACAATAACATTTAAACAAAATACTGCTTTTTGGAATGGAGACAATTTATTACATGTTAAACTTTAAAAATACAATTTACTGTAATTACATCAGCTTGTATAGTAGGTGTATTCAAGTTAAAAATAAAAGCTACTGGAGACTAGAATAAAAGTTAAATGTCAAGACCCAAATAGGTAGTTCTTTACAGATGACAGATACAATTTAACAGAAAGTGAGTTTGAAGTACTGTGGATATAAACAGCATAATAAATGTAAAACATGACTAATGTTTTATGCTAATATTTGTAGGAGACTCTTATTTGATTGCTGTCCTGAACTGATAGAATATTCTAACATCAACCTATCTCTAGTTTTTGCTACTGGATTAAGAGATTTTTCTATTTAAATTGCTGCTAGTGACATCCATATACTAAAACATACATATTTTAAAATAACTAAATGGCTTTAATTTTTCTAGCAATTTTGTTTAATTCTGCAAATCTTATTCATTTTTTGGTAAGAGGGGGGAGCATAGAAAGGAGAAAAGCACAGGATAAGGTGTTTAATGTTCCATGACTGTGTTACAAAGGCCACTTCCTAAGGGGCCATTTACACTGGAGAGATGTATACTGGCTGCGATTGGTGCTTATAAAAATCACATTGATTAGGCCCGCTCTGAGCAGGATTACATGATAATGTTAAAAATGCCAGTTGCAGTCAGCAGCCCATCTACATTAAGACTCCCAATATAGCTAAAATCAGTGAAGCTGAGCCAATGTGAGCAAGTGGGAAAATTTATCCACTGTAGATGGCCCGTATTTGCAGATCTAGATTTTACAGGGAGGGTGACAGGCAAGCGATAGGGTGGGGCTTACTGTGTACATTAATCTGCATGCATAGGTCCCAATCCACAGCCTAAACTAAACAAGACATCTTTTAAAAAATAAACATGCCAATTCCTGCCAAAAATATAATCGTTACCAACAAATAGTAAAGAAAATTGTTTTTAAATTAAACTTTTTCATTTTAATTAGAGAAAAACTAAAATCATTTCTAATTATAATTTTCTTAAAATATTTTTCTGAAAGAGGAACTGTCTCTTTCTGCGAACTCTTCCTCTTTGCTCCGGGTGGCTTAGTGAGAAGTCTTCTCACCTGGTGGGGTCTTTAGAGTTCCTTGTGCTCAGATGAGTTTAGGGAACCTTTAAAGGCCCATCACATGTTTAGCCCTGATTTTACAAGTAGGTCCACACAGGCAGAGAGGTCTGCTCAGGCTGAACTCCTTGCAGGCCTTAGAGGGACAATAAAATAGCCCTTCAGTAAATCCTAAATCCTTGTTCTCACCCTAGTTGGAAATCCCAGTAGAGAAGAGTCAAGCTTACCTATCAACCACCATCAAAGCCCCACCACCCTTTCCCCACAGTTGTCAAGAGACAACTCTCAAAACAAGTTAGGACTCTGTGAGCTTTTAGACTCCATAACACATTTTGGTTGCTTTTAGATTATTTTAATGGCTATAAGTACCACAGCAGCTGTTCTTGTTTTCCTTTCATTTGTCCCCTATAGAAGCACAATCCTGTTATTCACAAACCCCTCCCTGTACAACAGGCCATGGCTTCCCCAATCTAGCTGTGCTGGTAGAAGACCTACTTTCATCTGCTGTTTTTAAGAGGCAGGAGGTAGACACCTGCTTTCCTCTTTGAGTTGCATCTTTTCCTCTTGCCCAGATACCCACTACTCTCCTCTCTCATTTCTCTTTTATGTCCCTCTTCTCCTTCCCTTTTGAGGTTTTTCCCATCCTTTGTCACCATTCCCTTTGGCCCCATGTGCCGAGGTTCTACCAGCTCTCACTTCCTGACATCAGTGCCTGGGTGTTATAGTAATATCTACCCAAATATTTGCTCCCTTCTGTTTCAGCCCCCCTCATTTCTCTCTACTTCCACCCCACTTCCTTTCACCACTTGTCCTCATTTTTTCCCTTTTTTTTTTCTGCCCCCTCTACAGTGTTCCCTTTCTTCCCTCCTAAATTGGGCTAACTGCTGCAGCTGGCAAGGACCAATGGACGGTTCCCTCTGCCACTGCAGCGAGGCATAGGAGCCAACAGTGGACAGTGAGAGCTAGGAAGAGGATGAGACATCTGAAGCCTCCAGTACAGCCTTGCAAGCAGACACTGAAGTTCTGAATACTCAGAACAAAGAGGCAGATAACTGGGACTCTGTCAAAACTCAGGGGAGTTCCAGCCAAATTGAGGCAGGTAGCAAATACGCTTCTCTGGAGAAGGGAACTCAGGTGATGGCCATTTCTTTCCCCACTATCCCTGAGCCACTTGGCCAAAAAGCTCAGTGGCAACTCATTTATTTCCACTGACTTTTAACTCTCCTGGGGAGAGCCAGCAATGGGTTGTTTATCTCTCCTCTCATCCCTTTTCTTGGGCAGCAGGTGTAGAACTCAAGCACCGAATTAGGGAGAGCAAGGACAGTGCTGGTGGCCTCCACAGCTGTCTAGAGCATTCGCTATTGTTCTCAAATATCAATTGAGTATCAAAAGTATCTCAGGAGCAGCTTTTATGAATAGAGTCGTTAAACTCATGCATTCAGTGGGTATCCAGGAGAAGAATATATTTTAGGAGTGGAGGAAGAAACTCAAAGAAATTTTGAATGGGTTTGGAGTCATTTTAAGGAAATAAGTACATTACATTTGCATATATTCAAAATCTACAAAGCACTACTGGGCTATGATTGACCCAGGCTTTGTATTGGGACACCAGGCCATTCTCTAGAGGCGAATGACTCTTAACCATGCAACTCAAGAAGGAGGCAGGCAAATATGAACCAATGGAGCAAGGCAGGCAAATATGGACCAATGGAGCAAGGCAGCCTTTTAAGCTTTGTCTGCATGAGGAAATGTTACCCCCCAAAAATTACTACTAGCAGTTGAACTGGTGTTAACACCTGCACACAGCCTTAGACTCTCCTTTTGTATTTGAAATATATCTAAAGCATCAATTAAATGTGCAGGCAGGCCTCCCTTCAAAATCAATGGGAGCTGTGTACATACATCCAAAGGCAGGAGAGGTAATTGGCATAATCGTTGTGGTGTCAGCATTGAGCAGAAAGGATTTGAGGTCTATTATAGAGTGAACACGAAAACATTAACATCAGTATCACATGCTCTGCTACAAGACGTATATCAAATAGTTCTTAAAATAAATCACAGGCTTAATTCAGGTTGGTTTGAAAAAAAGTGCATTCTTCACACAAAAATATAAAAGTCAGAATAAACGGACACTTTCACCTAATAAATTTACCTAAAGCATCACAGTTGGTATGTGCACGGAGTGTGATGACACGTGGCCAGATTCTGATTGGCATGGATCCAGAAATGCCACTTATTTCAATGCAGCTATTCCTCATTTACACAAATGTAACTGAGATGTGAAGCCAGTCTATTTATTAGAAATATCCCGAGTCTTTATGTCACTAACTTCTCTTCCAAAGACCCCCAAAGTCGCTGTTGTTCAGCAACAATACTCACTATACCTGTTATAGATTCTTCTGCTCACAAACAAACATCAATGAATAAATAGATTTCTAGCAAATTTGTTGTCCTGTCTCCCCAAGTAAATTGACTAGAAGGTTGATTATAAAGTCTCAGTCATTGATAATTGCATAATACAGTATTTCATTGCTTGTTTCTCCATCCACTTTGTCTAAAATCTGTTTATTTGAATTGCCATTAAGAATCAAGTCAGAAAGTATATTATTTATTAGTCTATTAAATAGTGCCCTGTTTTACAAATTACTATCAGTTGTAGATATTGCCCCATTAATCCCAGTACAAATGTAACTTCATTCAGCCTTCCTCTCTCCACATAACTCTGATTAAGAATACAGTTTAAACACCTACTGTATGGAAGACTAGCATCAAAAGCCCCTTATGTTATGAGAATAATCCTATATTATTATCAATTCGACAATCATGCAAGTGATGTTTATAGAGGTAAACCCCAAAACTACAGAATCCTTGTGAAACAGAAAAGTGAAAAGAGAACTTGCTTGGAAAATGGAAAACTTAATAGGCTGTCTGCAAAATACAAGGGAAAACACTTTCCCCTTTGGCTTTCACAGGAATCAGTACTTGAACTTTATTTACATGTCAATTTGTATTCTACGCATAGAGATCAAATGTAAACAATTTTTAAATTCCCCCTCTGACCAAACCAATGGAATAATGGATACTTCATGAAAAATAAAACCCCTGAGATCTATTTCTGAAGTGAAGGGTGGCAAGGGGAAATGGAAGTTTTTAATATTATCACATACAAAAAGAATGCAAATTGAATTAGACCATAAAAAGTTTGGATAAGGCCTTTTACAACAACTGCTCTGTCAAAAAAATAAATCTGGATATGGAATTTTTACATAATCTACTTTAAACCATGCATAGCCACCTCTGCACTAGGATGAACGTTATCCATAGAAAAATGGCATATTTTTAATTGAAGCTGAGGTCTACACATACCAATGAATGATCACTGCACTGAAATTTTTATCCTGTTTTTACGAGAACATTCCCTTTAAAATTTTTTGAAACCTTTTTTGGCTAGGGGAGACATGTACCAGCTCATCTTTTTAAAAATATGAATGTGTTAAAGGAACACAGCAATTGTATGAATAATAATATAATTCTTTGCTCTTCTATAGCACCTTTAATTCCTAGCATCTCACAGTGCTTTAAAAACATCACTCAATTAAGCCTCAACAAGTAAACTCAACCCCGTTTTACAGACAGGGAGCTCTCTGACTCCCATCCCATAGCATCTCAGCATCTTACAATCTTTTATGTATTTATTCTCACAACATTCCTGTGTAATAGGGAAATGCTATTACTCCTATTTTACAGATGAGGAGCTGAGGCACCGAGAGACTCAGTGATTTGGCCAAGGTCACACAGGAAGCCTGTGGCAAAGCAATGACTTATAAATAAATAGCTTCCAAGAGAATGAGGGATCATTTTGATCTAGTCTGAACTTCTGTATAACACGGGCCACAGAACTTCCTCAAAATAATTCCTGCGGTATATCTTTTAGAAAAACATCCAATATTGATTTTAAAATTGCCAGTGATGGAGAATCCAACCAACCCTTGCTACACTGTTCCAATGGTTAACTACCCTCACTGTTAAAAATTTATTCCTTATTTCCAGTCTGCACTTGTCTAGCTCCAACCTACAGCCATTGCATTACGTTATACTCGTCTCTGCTAGACTGAAGAGTTCATTATTAAATATTTGTTCCCTGCTTAGGTATTTATAGACTATTAAGCAAGTCACCCCTTATCCTTCTCTTTGTTGCACTAAATTGATTGAGCTCCTGGAGTCTTTCACTATAAGCTGTGTTTTCTAATTGTTTAACCATTCTTGTGGCTTTTCTCTGAACCCTCTCCAATTTACTTACATCCATCTTGAACCAGTATTCCAGCATTGGTGCACAGGTGCCAAATACAGAGGTAAAATAACCTCTCTATTCGTACTTAAGATTCTCATTTATGCATCCAAAGATAGCATTGCTCATTTGCCCACAGCATTGCATTGGGAGTTAATGTTTAGCTGATTATCCATCATAACTGCCACCTCTTTTTTTGGAGACATTGTTTCCCAGGATAGAGTTCCCCATCCTGTAAATATGGCCTACATTCTTTGTTCCTAGATGTATACATTTACATTTAGCTGTATTGTTTGTTTGTGCCCAGTTCATCAAGTGATCCAGATCCCTCGCTCTGAATCAGTGACCTGTCCTCTTCATTATTTACCATCTCCCAATTTTGTGTCATCTGCAACTTATATTAGTGATGTTTTTATGCTTTCTTCAAGATCATTGATAAATATTGTAAAAGTGAAGGGCCAAGAACTGATCCCTGTGGTACTCCACTGGAAACACATCCACTCACTAATTCTCCATTTATGATTACATGTTGAGATCTATCAGTTAGCCAGCTTTTAGTCCTTTTAATGTGTGGTATGTAGGGCTGTCAAGCAATTAAAAATTAATTTCTATTAATTGCATGATTAAAAATTGTGATTAATTGCACTGTTAAACAATAATAAAATATCATTATTTAAATATTTTTGGCTGTTTTCTACATTTTCAAATATATTGATTTCAATTACAATACAGAATACAAAGTGCACAGTGCGCACTGTAAAAAAGAAACAAGAAATAGTATTTTTCAGTTCATCTACTACAACTACTGTAGTGCAATCTCTTTATCATGCAAGTTGAATTTACAAATGTAGAATTATGTACAAAAATAACTGCACTCAAAAATAAAACATGTAAAACTTTAGAGCCTACAACTCCACTCAGTCCTATTTCGTGGTCAGCCAATCGCTCAAATAAGTTTGTATACATTTCCAGGAGTTAAATTAGCTGCCCACTTCCTGTTTACAATGTCATCTGAAAGATAGAACAGGAGTTTGCATGGCAATGTTGTAGCTGCCGTCAAAAGTTATTTATGTGCCAGATGTGCTAAAGATTGATATGTTCCTTCATGCTTCAACCACTATTCCAGAGGACATGCGGCCATGCTGATGACAGGTTCTGCTTGATAACAATCCAAAGAAGTGCAGAGCGACGCATTTTCATTTTCATTTTCTGATTCAGATTCCACCAGCAGATGGTTGATTTCTTTTGGAGTGGTTCGGGTTCTGTAGTTTCCACATTGGAGTGTTGCTCTTTTAAGACTTCTTAAAGTATGCTCCACAACTCGTCCGTCTCAGATTTTGGAAGGCACTTCAGATTCTTAAAACTTGGGTTGAATGCTGTAGCTATCTTTAGAAATCTCACATTGGTACCTTCTTTGAGTTTTATCAGATCTGCAGTGAAAGTGTTCTTAAAACAAACAACATATGCTGGGTCATCATCCGAGACTGCTATAACGTGAAATATATGGCAGAATGCGAGTAAAACAGAGCAGAAGACATACAATTCTCCGTTAAGGTGTTCAGTCACAAATTTAATTAATAGAATATTTTTAATGAGCATCATCAGCATGGAAGCACGTCCTCTGGAATGGTGGCCAAAGCATGAAGGGACATACTAATGTTTAGCATATCTGGCACATAAATACCTTGCAAAGCCAGCTACAAAAGTGCCATGAAAATGCGTGTTCTCACCTTCAGGAGACACTGTAAATAAGAAGCAGCAGCATTATCTCCCATAAATGTAATCAAACTTGTTTGTCTTAGCGATTGGCTGAACAAGAAGTAGGACTGAATGGACTTGTAGGCTCTAAAGTTTTACATTGTTTTGTTTTTGAGTGCAGTTATGTCACAAAAAAAATCTACATTTGTAAATTGCACTTTCACGATAAAGAAATGATTAGGTTTTTTTGAGTTAATTATGTGAGTTCACTGCGATTAATCGACAGCCCTAGTGCTATGTTACCTTTATATAGTTCTAGTTTTTTAATCAAAATGTTGTGCGGTACCAAGTTAAACACCTTCCAGAAGTCTAAATATATTACATCAACTCTAATATTTTTATCAACCAAACTTGTTATCTAATCAAAAAGGATATCAAGTTGATTTTGCAGGATCTTTTTCCATAAGTGTATGTTGATTGACATTAATTATATTACCCTAGTTTAATTTTTTATTAACTGAGTCCTGTATCAGCTGCTCCATTATCTTGCCAGGGATCAGTGTAACACGAGCAGGCTTATAATTACCCAATCATCCTGTTTATCTTTTTTTTTAGGTTTTGGCACAACATTAGCTTTCTTCCAGTCTTCTGGAACTTCCCCAGTGTTCTAAGAGTTATTGAAAAAGATTCTCCTCAGCCAGCTCTTTTAACACTCTTGGACCTGTTGATTTTAAGAAGTCTAACTTTAGTACCTACTGTTTAACATTCTCCTGATATACTAGTGTAATGGAAAGTGTGTTATAATCATCATAGGCTATGACTACATCATTTGTTTTCCCCCCAAATACAGACCCAAATGAAGGTGTCCTGAGTCTCAGGTTAGTGCCCTAACCATTGGATCATCCTTCCTCCCTCTGAGGCACAGTATGCTGAGATGTTGTAATGACTGATGCTCTATCAATGAAAACAGATTAGAGAGATACATATGACATCAGTTGCACGTGTGGTAAAGCTAGAAAGTAAACCCAGATCTGATTCCTAATTTTTATGCCTTAATCATTTTATGATGCTTCCTCTCTTCCTTTCAATGTAATATAAAAGATTACAAGGAGTAAAAAAATCATGTCAAAAATATCTTAAACATAAAAAGGAACATATAACAGTAGCTGCCATCTTGACACTCTGCTAAGTTAACAAACAAAAATTCTGAAAACTAATAGAACTTTACTTGTCTGAAAGTCTCCCGCCTTTCTCTTGCATCCAGATACTGAGTAACATTTCTTATGACTCAGGGACTACCTGCTGGGAAGTATCATTAAAATCACAGCTGTCACTGAAACACCAGCATTTTGCATAGTTATGGAGATAATGAACCACACTATGTATAATTTAAAACTTTTGAACATTTATTTTTCTAAAAATATATATTGTCGAAGCCAAATTCTGATTCCATATGTGTGTGAAAAAGGTAGAATTTGGCTATTGTTTTATAAGGCAAGGACCTAAAGGAGTCCGGTGCCTAATTCTTATTGAATGTAAGCTCCTTTGAAGATCCTAGCCTAAATTATTTAGCTATCTAAACTATTATCATTAATCAGTAAAGTTTTCCCTTAATTGCACATTTCATAGGAATTCTTTGAAATCTAAATCTACAGCAACTGACGGATTAACTCTTTTTAAAGAAGCACTTTGGTTTTTTTTACATTCAATATCTCCTCTCCTAAACATGTTTTTTCTCTAGAACATGCACCTTAGTAGGTAGTGTTGGTAAGTAGGAGTTGTGAGCCTGAATTGATGTTTTCAGTATTGTCTCTGTGCATCAATTTTCTATACTGCCAACGCCCAACTGTTAGTTTCTAATGCACAACTAATGTCCTGGGCCAAATTCTGCTCTCTGTTACATCAATATGAATCTTGAATAACTCCACAGAAGTCAGAATATGACCTACTATGTCAGCATGAATTAGTTTATTTCTACATATTTTCAATACCAAAGATACTTCACCTTCTTTCACCATTCTTGTTTAAACATCTTGAACATGTGCAAACCCCAATATTTTCAAAAGCAAATAAAGAGCACCACCAGTGCAAATATAAACAATCTTTGTTGAACTATGAAGTATAAGAGTTTACAGTAACAAATTACATTAACAGTCAAGACCAGTAGAAAAATAGATGCACTGCATAATTTGGATTTCTGTTACATATATAGGAAATTATTATTTTTATCTTTATGCTTGAGTTGGCAAAATGTTCTGAAAACATGAAACAAAATTAATTTTTATATATTTTTCTGGCCATGAGGTATAAATACAGTTGCTGCCCACATACATTACAGCAACATATATAAACATAATTCCTTAATAAGCTTTTTGCTAAAATGTATTTTCTCTTCTTACAGTTTCCATTTAAAAAGTGGTAATCCAGTGCTTAAAAATTATAATACAATATATATAAACAACCCTTCACCGACAGAACGAACACTCAAACAGAAAGCGTAAACACAGTATTTTCACTAATAATTTCAATGCGAAAAATTCCCTACTGAGGTGAAACTTTACCTTATTATTTTGCTCATGCTGACGAACTCTCTCTTCTTTAAAAAAAAAAAATCACACATCTGCTGTCCCTTTAAGGATGAAGATTACTTTATTCATAATGCTACCATTAATGCTGAGCCCTGCTGTCTAAACGTAGGGCCTAATTGTGTTCTAGGATATGAGTATATATCTCCTACTGTGAATGGAAGCTGTGTCTTTGGAATACATCTCAACTTTGCTCAGAGACATTAAAGTCCCAAATTACTATTCAAGAATACCATTGGCATGAGCATTTGAGGGGAAGATCTTGAAAATAATGAGACTAAAACAGTATTATAATTAAGGCCCCACACAGACTTTTCATCATGATTCTCTTATAAATGAACCTCATAGCCTAATTTGGGGAAAATGTACTAAATAACAATGGAATCACAATGGCCTGCATAGTGCCAACTCAACTGGAAGCATTTACGTTTTCTACTATCAATGGGTAAAAATGAACTGTCTAAAATGAAGCTAGGAAGACCTGCTCCTTCAAGATTCTAAAACAACAAGCTAAGAATTTAGCAAGCGACAATATGTAAATGGCAGTTGTATTAGAGACTAAGGACATCAAAAAGTACAAAATTGTCTTTATATGCCTATTCTGTGTGTGCATGCAATATGGCTGCCTCCAACAAGAGACTATTAAAAAAAGAAGCTATTTTAATCAAAAACATCATAATCATAATTACAGTGGGGGAAAAATACTTTTGGTCATGTTGACTTTGGAAGGCTTCACTGAAGAAACTGGGGAAGCTTTCTTGTATTCCTGCAACTGATATTATTACTAATGGGAAGTTTGTGCCTAATGTTCTGGAACAGGATATTATCATATTATACACTAAACATTTCAAGAAATGTCCTCCTTCCTGATGTAGCACACTTTTTGATAATTGCAACTTCTGACCTGGGCAACAGCACCAAGGATTACACTATGTTCAATGTAAATTCTCCATAAACTGTACCTATTGAAAACTTCCCAATCTCCATCCTGAGATGCCGTACTCACTTTGCGCAGTTCTCTTTAGTTAGCTATCTAATTGGTTTGCCATAAAGAACATGCCCATGCTTTCCCAGCATTGTTCTCACTTTCAAACAAAAGTTAAGAGATCATGCTTGTCTGAGACTGTTCTGTAGTGCAAATTAAATTGCAGATAATAATGTATAAGCAGCTTGCAGTTCTTTTAAAATGGATTGTCTTATTCTAATTTCCCATCACTTTTGCAGCTGATTGTGAAAAATCACGAGTGTAAATGAGGTATGGTAAATGAGAGTAGGGGAATAGAGGTTCAGTTAACAGCCATTATGCATACTCTCAATCTGAGTTGTTAATAAGTAGCAGAATTCAGCCCTGGTGTAATTTAGCTGAAATCAACAGAGTTACACAGCAATGACCGTGGTACAGTATGTTTCAAGGTAACAGAATGCATTCTGGTAGTAACTACCATTACCATTTTTGGGGTATGATCTGAAAACACCTACATGCATAGTTTTACTAAATTCATACATGTGAATAAAGTTACTCATGTTTACAGGTTCAGACTCTAAGGGCCTGAACCGAAGAGTCCACTGAAGTCAATGGAAGTCTTTCCATTCACTGATTTCAAAAGGCTTTGGATCAGGCCTCACATCTAAGGCCAAGCTCTTAGAGCCACGCTATTTGCTCAGATAGAGGATTCTTTACTGTTGCTGCAGCTCTGAAAATTCCTTTGTAAAGAATACATACATTTATGTTTAACTAAAACTTTAGTAATACCCTTAGTTCTTTTAAGAAGGTCTACGAGGAGAAAACTACATCTTAAAAAAATCTTCTATTAAGTCTAACTATAAAATGTATATTAATTACTTACTTTTAATTAAACTTCTAAATGAATCTTTCATTGCCATTAAAAACCACTAACTGAAGAGGTGTAAATTTGAAAAAAGTTTTTTCACCTTGGTTATTTTCTTTCTTCTCCCTAACATTAAGTCACATACAGTGACTTTATTTGTGTATTCATATACTTTGACTGAAACCCAACAAGAGTGGAAAGGACTCCCTGCAATCACTTATTTGGAATGAAACACAGTATTGCAAGGCAACCATAACTGTGGCTGTGCCTAATTTTGTCTTGAAGGAGATTTGTAAAAATATTTCACTGAAGACAAAATTAGTGTTCTTGAGGTGAATTTAAGTCCTTCATAGTTATTTGACTAAAAATTATTGTTTCTTTGATACACAAATTTCCGTTCCAGATGCTTGCCCAATATGTGACTGAGGCTACTAGTAAGCCAACAAATTTGTTCCAAGGGCACAAAGGTCCTAATAAGTGCATTGCAGAAAATCAAGTTCCCATGGAATGCTGAAACTATAACATAAAATCATCAAACAGCTTCACTGCAGAAACAACATTAGTTTTCACATTAAAAAAATAAAGTGTTTGAATTAGACTTTATTGCACCAGCAACTGGCTTTTAAAATATACCCCATTCAAGTTAAACATTAAATTATTTTATCAAACAAAATATAAGATCTTTCTTTAACGTATCACACAGAGATAAGATATATGCACCTTAAGTAAGGCTAAGTTTTTGTCATGGATATTTTTAGTAAAAGTCAAGGACAGGTCACGGGCAATAAACAAAAATGAATGGAAGCCCGTGACCTGTCCCTGACTTTCACTAAAAATATCCCTGACAAAAGCGGTAGGTGGGTTCAGTATCCACCCCTGCTGGGGCTCCTGGGTCCTGCACTGCTGCAGTAAGTGGGAGTTCTGGGATCCCCCGCCACTGTGGGGAGTGGGAGCTGCAGGGTCCCCTCACCCCGGGGCAGCTGGGTGCTCATGGGGTCCTCTGCTACCCATCATGGCTGGGAGATGCAGGGTCCCCCAGCCGCTCACCATGGCTGGGCAGCTTCGGGGGGTCTCCTGCCGCCCACCACAGCTGGGTAGCTGCAGGATCTGCGGGCCGCCAACCGCAGCTGGGCAGCTGCTGGGAGTCCCCCACTACCTGCCACAGCTGGGCAGCTGCATGGTCGGCTGGCTGAAGAGTCCCCGCTGCCTGCTGTGGCTGGGCAGCTGCTGGGAGTCTCCGCTGCCCGCGGCTGGGCAACCGCAGAGTGCCCCCACCAGTTCGGGAGCTGGGGGGGAGGGGGCTGGGAGCTCCAACCCGGGGCAGAAAATATCAGAGATAAATGGAAGTCATGGATTCTGTGACTTCCATAACCTCCATGATATAATCGTAGCTTTAACCATAAGAAAAAACAGCCTAAAAGGATGACAAAACATCAAATCACAGATGATAGAAAATATAATAATTAGTTGTTTCTTTTTCATTCTGTCATTTACATGATTTTTTAAAAACATTCAACCAAGATCATGTAGACACTTGAATTCTTGGAAAAAGATCACCCTTCAGCTAAGTCAAGGCGTTGAAGCTGGAGTCACTTTCAGGCTGTCAAGTGCTGCATGAATCCTGAAGTGTAACCTGGACTCCATGGAGTATTCTTTGTAGTTGTTTCTGCAAACACCAAAATTACTTCATCAGCCAAAAAAAAAAAAGAACAATAACCCCTCACCATAAAACCCCATCCATCATTTAATCTCTCAGTTCTCTGCTCTCTTCCCTTCACTTTATATTGTCCTTTACAACAGCTCTCAGGCCTTTAGAAAAGATGAGTCATGCCCAACACGAAGATGTGAACAAAAAAAACGTATGGAAAAATAGCATATTAGTATACCACTGTCAGCTGAAAAAAAAGTGTGGCCAGCCTCAAAACACAGCACTCAAAGTGTCAGTGTAATTGTACAGAAACCAATCCAAAGTACCCAGCAGGGTACAGGAAATGGCATTATGGGAATCCAAAACCTTTTTAGCTAATGGTGAAATTGATCTTTAGGTCTGAAAGGTTTTTAGGAGGCTGCCATTGACATATACAGTACTTCCAATACCATTTAGACACTGTTAACTTTTTTATAAAAATGTTAAGGAGCAAGTGCTGCCCTCAGCCTACAGACTGAGTGAATGGGCTGTGCTCTGAGAAGATCTGCTCTCTACCTCCCTGCTCTGGGGGATTCCTGGGGAGTGGGGAGGTAGCGGGGAGAAGAGGAAATCAGCAGTGGATAGATAGATACACGTAGCCACAGATCCCGTAGCTGCTCCACCCCATCCTCACTCAGCCCATGAACTCTTCCACTGCACCATATAGGGAGGCCCATTAAGCTGTTCTCTGTGTCACACAGGAGGTACGGATTACATACACTGGCTCTCCAACTCTCCCCGCCCTCCATGCAGCAAAGTCACACCTTTTTTTTGCTTTCTCTAGGGCGCTTAGCACCCATAAAAGTTTGAGTGGGAAGGAGACAGGATTTGCCCTTAATACTGTACCCCAGCCAGTGTGGTTCAATTCAGCATACCATGTGTGAAACATATGGCAGAGTAGAAGTACTATATCAAAGAACTGGTACACTTTAAAAATTCAACTCTATTGAAAAACATTTTCTAAGGCTTGAATATAGAGTTATAATAAATAGTTTATCATTTTGCCAAGTTGCTAGTGCAGTTGTGTAGAAACTGTAATGTTGCTTCAGCTGAATTTTGTAAAATTATTTAAAAAGAGATAGAGAGAGGAAGAATGAGAGATTCCTTTATTGCTCGGAGTGCCTCAGTTACTCTGAGTCTTAACGAGTGCACAGAGACAAACATGAACTCTACTTACTTTGCAGTTTCTATATATCTTATTGCTTTCTCTCTCTGGTCCTGCTGTTTGTGCAGAAGTCCCAACTCATACAGAGTGAATGGCACCAAATAGTTATCATATTTTATCTGCTTCTCACTAAGAAAACAGAGAGATATGAAATTGGTTAAATATAACAAACATATGTTGTCCTGAAGTTATATGATTATTAATTTAAATGCAGAGCATACGCCTACCTAAATTCATATTTGACCACTTGCCTGATTTCCAAAAGTGCCGAGCATTGAATAGCTTCCATTGACTTCAGTAGGAGTTTCAGTATTTTTTAATATCAGGCAAGCACCTAATAATGGTTTTAGAAATCTAAATTTAGGCTTTAGTTTTGAAAACCAAGGCCCTAGTGGCTAAAAATTTTTCTGTGGCTTAGTCAAGACAGTACAGATAGTAGATTCCTCCTCACTCAATCTGATAGGCAAGAAGACAACCAATCGTCATTTAGGACTACAATCACCCATCAATGAATTGATCCCTCCAACTGGATCAATCCAAAGATCACCAGGGTTCACCAGCAAATTACATCAATTAAAACACACAGGCAGAGAACTAGAACATTAGTGGCACAAAATCCTCTTCACATCTGTGACGGGGTGTACTGGCCCCATACTGGAGCGGAAGGGGATAAAGCAGCTGCAGTGTAAAAGGGAACGCCTAGCTCAGTCTGGGCTGGCTGCCGAGGAGGAAGGATGCACCTTGCTGGCTCCAGCCAAGGATCAGCCAGGATCCCAGACCGCGGGAGCAGGAGACGCCGAGGCCCAGGTACTTGCGGATGCCCCAGGGAGATTGCAGTCGCCATCTGAGGAATCCAGAGACTCCGAAGACACCCTGACTTCAACTGCAGGAGTCATGGTAGGAGGTAGCCCTGGGAGGGACTAGCCAGTGTCCCGGCAGCAGTCGGCGTGTTTCGGGTGAATTCTCTGCCGACTTAGTGGTGAACCCATTTGCCACTACCAGGGCCCTAGGCTGGGACCCAGTGGAGCAAGGAGGGCCAAGGTCCCCCTACCTGGACACCTCCTTTGGAAGGCAGCCCACGGAACCACCTCCCACTGACTGGCCATTAGGCCGTGCTTCCCTGCAGTGCAGTGGAATCCTATTGACTCTGGCCAGTGGGCCATGCTTCCCCGCAGCCAAGGGGAGCCCTATTGACTCTGGCCATTAGGCCATACTTCCCTGCAGTCCCTGGGAATCATATTAGCTTTAACGGTGGACCTGCCCCACCCTTGCTCTGGTGTACTGGCCCTGCAACAACATCTATCTTTCAACAACAAAAGAATTTTTATTTGACTACTCTACTGCAATACAAGAAGCAGCGAGAATCCTCTACTCCACTGCCACCATCAAAGCTGGCTGACAAAATCATGGCTGGCAGAGCTTTTTGGTGTAGTGAACTGGCTAAATTAACCTAAACTGGATACTCTGGACCCAAGGACTGAACCCTGGGACAATTCTCACCCTATGTTGCAACTCCCATCTTCTCATGTACTGTAATATTTATACTGCTTTCTATATTTTTCACTCCATGCATCTCATGAAGTGGGTTTTAGCCCATGAAAGCTTATGCCCAAATACATTTGTTAGTCTCTAAGGTGCCACAAGGACTCCTCATTGTTTTCACTGACAGAAGAAACCTGGAAATGGACCAGATGGCACTGATCACTCCTCCAATCCTGACAAAGCTCAGACCCGGAACAGACAATGAAATACTACAAGCCTAAGGAATATTCCAGATACTACTGGTGAAACACAAAAGTGCCCCTCTGTCACAGTCTGGCTGGCCTTTTAAGGGAAGAAGGGATCAACTTTGTGCATATAATGGAGACTTAATTAGAATGACCTACCCCAACTGCAGGGGATTGGAACGATGATCTAAATAAGCCAAACTGTGAACTCAGTCTGGGGAGAAGCCCCAGGAGAGAGGGGCAATTGGAGTTTACCTTCTCTGGGAAGTGTTTGGTAAAGGCAGGATGGAGAGAACCACAGGGAGCAGACCAGGCTCCTGTGGAGGGCCTTAGGATATGACCAGTAAGAAGCCAGGGAGATCCCTGAAGGAAGCTGCTGGAGTCCCCAAGGAAGGTAGGCAGTGGAGAAACCTTCTGGGAAGAAGCAGCCTACAAGAACACTGCAGGGCCCAGGAGTAAGAGCAGAGAACTTCAGGGTAGCACAAGAGGGGTAGAAGAATTATTGGTTTGGATGTTTATTTCCATTTACATTTAGATTTTTGTTAGCTCAAAAGTTGACTGACCTTAAGAGGTGGCCTGGCCACGGAAGATGCAGACAGAAACAAGACAGCACAGGGCCGAAGAAGTGGTCAATAGGGGGCATTAGAGCTGAAGCCTCCTGCAATGCCCCACACTGACACCAGGGAGTATACCTGTGTGAGTACAACTGCTTATACCCTGCTGGTTGGTGAAAGCCAGCAAAGGACAACTGTGCCCACTACTAATGGAAATCATCAACATTTCCTTACTAAAAAAAGGTTTTGTATTCATCAAAAATACATTTATTGAAACAATAGAAGAAACCTGAGAATTAATCCCTCAAACCCTTTTAAAGTATCTCTCGGAGGAGAGGTTAATGGTCTCCTGGCAAGGTTATGCAACCACTCGATAATGTATTGATCCATTTCTGGGAGGAAAAAATTGGGGTACCTCTTCCTCAGAGTCCAAAGCTGCCTCAAGAAAATCCTCTTTCCCCATGGGAGAGCGTCTCTCCCTTGATGGGGTGTGGTTTTGCTTTTCACAGCCCCGGAGTCCATCTCAGCTATTCTCTAATTTTGCTGTTGCTTTGGTGAGAGCCTCTGCCTATATGACAGGTTTCAGAGTAACAGCCGTGTTAGTCTGTATTCGCAAAAAGAAAAGGAGTACTTGTGGCACCTTAGAGACTAACCAATTTATTTGAGCATGAGCTTTCGTGAGCTACAGCTCACTTCATCCGATGAAGTGAGCTGTAGCTCACGAAAGCTCATGCTCAAATAAACTGGTTAGTCTCTAAGGTGCCACAAGTACTCCTTTTCTTTCTGCCTATATGGATGACCTTCACTTTCCCTTTAGGCAAGTTAAACAGCTGTTTGACTGTCAACACTTCAGAAATGGTTTCAACTGCTGCCTTGCTCTGCTAAGGTTGTGGAAATTTCCTCTCCGTGAGAGCAGTAAGAGACCACAAGGACCACACTGGAAAGGTCTACTTCAAGAGATACAACTGATGTGTATGGGTGTGTCCCTTTCATTTTTTCCTTTTCTTTTTCTTCTGACTTCTCTGGATGAGAGACAAACAACATCCTGACATCGCCATGGAGGTTGCTGTGAGCTAGGCAGCAATCAAATGGAAGAAGCAAAGGAGGGAGCCCTAAAGAATGGGAAAATCCTGGACAGAGACCGGTTATCGGCAAGTGAAGAGAAACCCAGTGTCCTTGCTGTTGTAAACTTAACCACAGAACCAGATGCATTATTGTCTGGGTAATTCAAATGTTTAAGAAAATTAATTTCTTTTTCATAATGGATGAAGATGATCCGTAAAGACACATCAGTTAATCATCATAACACTCCTTTAAGGTATCCAACATATCTAAAGGGCACCAGATAAGTGCAAATTATTATGATTAGCTCACTAAGTCATAGAAAATTATAAAATAGCTTTAGAACTGTCCTTCTAGATTAATGTATTTTAAAAACAGCTGCTAATTGCTCTTTGGACTTTATATATTACCAATATGTTCACACTAAAATCACTACTACCACACAAATTCTAAATTCATTTTCCACAGCTTTGATTTATTTTGTACATCTTTACAAAGCAAGCTACATAACTGAAAAAAGGAAATCAAATGTACATTCCTCTCCCCCCTTTAACTAACCACATTTTATTTTATGGAGACTGTTAGGAGATGCTGCAGATCAGTGGTTCTCAACCTTTCTGGACTACTGTACCCCTTTCAGGAGTCTGATTTGTCTTGCATACCCCCAACTTATACCTCACTTAAAAATTACTTGCTTACAAAATCAGACATAAAAATACAAAAGTGTCACAGCCACACTATTGCTGAAAAATTGCTTATTTTCTAACATATGTGATGAAGCGGGACTGTTCTTAATGTTTCCTCTGAATAGTGTGGAGGTGCCTCAGTTTCCCCTATGCAGTTCTTAAGTATCTAGGTGGTGGGATAAGGGTGTATGATCGTTGAAGAGCCCTAGAGGGCAGGTATGCACAGGGGTCTGGACACAGAGAATGGCCAACACCCTGTTTCCTGGCAACTGATGGCCTGGGCCCTTCCCCCTGCAAGTTGAGAGCTAAAGGGTTGGAGAACAAAGGAATCAGGTGACCTCCTGGCCCGGAAAGGGACAAAGCCCAGAGGAGGAGGGGCTGAGAAGGAGGCAGTTTGGGGCTGGCTGGGGACATGGAGTGAAGTGCAGACGTGGTTGTCTGGCTCACTGCCCCCCAAAATGGACCCAGCTGTTCTCTGTACCTACAAGCTCTGTGTTAGACCATGTTCCTGTCAGCTAATAAACCTCTGTTTTACTGGCTGGCTGAGAGATATGTCTGACTGCGGAGTTGGGATGCAGGACCCTCTGTCTTCCCCAGGACCCCACCTGGGTGGACTCGCTGTGGGAAGCGCATGGAGGGGCAGAGAGGATTCTGAATGCTCTGAGGTTAGACCCAGGAAGCTGGAAGCTGTGTGAGCTGTGTGTCCTGCAGATAGTCTGCTCACAGAAAGGAGACTTCCTCAGAGTCCTGACTGGCTTCGTAGGGAGCAGTTCCAGTGCCTCGCCCGGGGACAAAAATTACTTGCTTACAAAATCAAACATAAAAATACGAAAGTGTCACAGCCACACTATTGCTGAAAAATTGCATATATTCTTATTTTTTACCATATAATTATAAAATAAATCAATTGGAATATAAATAGTGTATTTGCATTTCAGTGTATAGTATATAGAGCAGTATAAACAAGTCATTGTATGAAATTTTAGTTTGTACTAACTTTGCTTGTGCTTTTTATGTAGTTTGTTGTAAAACTAGGCAAATATCTAAATGAGTTGATGTACCCCCAGGAAGACCTCTGTGTACCCGCCCCCCCACGGGGTACACATATCCCTGGTTGAGAACCACTGCTGATGATTAGAGAGGTCTGAACTTTATAATTAATGTATTGCACATGGGGTTAGGTTCCTATCCAACTTACCAGTTTCCTGGAACTGACCTTCATTGTGTTACATCAGTGGCTTAAACTCAAAGCAAAAAATGTTGTGGGAGAACTGTATTTCCAAACAGTTGAATATCACACTTTGTACCTAGCTTTTTCTTAGATGACTGCTATCACCGTATCAAGAGAAGTGCACCTAGAGTGGAACACGGAGAGGGACTACAGAAGTGTCCAGACAGCAGTCACCTGTCTCTGGGCAGGGATCCTTGTCCCATTTCTTCTAACTGGGGATTTTAAGGCTGCATAGCACCCTGCTGTACACTGTGGTATCTCCAACAAACCAGTCTGCCTAAAGTCCAGTGCCTGTGCTTTGATTTCTCTCCAAGGTGTATTGCCAGCAGTTACCAGTTACCACACAGATCTTTCTAAGTTAACACACCTATCACTCTTATAGGGCCTTATTAGGCCAAAAGTCTTTCCAACTCTTCTGCAAGAGTTGGAGGCCTCCCTTGAACAGAAGATCCTGTTTGTTTGCTGGATTAGAAAGAAGGGCCAGAGTCAGTTCAAGATCACCTTTTTATACCAAAAGCCCTTTCTTTGTCTCATAGTCTCTATAAAACCCAGCTTGAACCAGTATATGCAAACCGTTCCACCAACATCGATCTTTTCCTGCAGAACATTATTTTATTTCAATGAAACCCCATTTTCCAAAGGGAAACTGTTTAAAATTTTTCAACCAGTCCTAGTCCTAAATCCTGACAGTATGCCACAAACACTGCACCCAAGAGAGAATTTTAAAGACTACACTCCTTGAAATTGGTTACAGCCTAGAGACAATTACGGTACACCTTACATACTCTCTGTCTGAGATATGGTAGCAGAAGGCCGTATTCTGAGATATGGTAGTAGAAGGCCAGATATCACAGAGAAAGGTGGCAGAGATATTAGAAGCAAACTTATTCATTGTTCCTTTCTTAAATGTGATTATTTTTCAATTATCATTTGATCTTTGATCTTTATTAATTAGAACTGAACAACAAAGATATTTTCTATTTCTGAAAGTATATGTGGGTTTTCAAAACTCCTCCTCTACAGCATGATAAATCTCTTTGGGTGAAATCTCTCTACCCCACACATCCTCCTTGAGGAATTCTATTTCATGAAGGAAATGCCATGAGTTTTCTGAAGAGACAGAACTGACTCATCTCCCCAAGTAGTAAGTAGGCCATGGAGTTACATATGTAGCCACTTCATAGCTTCAGCCAGCACTCCTCCATGTCCTTTTGGGGAGCATTTGGACACTAGATCTGCATAAGAGGAACCTTTGTAGGCACTCGCTGGCTTGTCTTCAACTGCCCTCTCTATACTGACCTATTCAGGACCTACACAGAGCTCACATCTATCCCACACAATGGGTGAAGTGGATCGCAGTAGAGTTTAAGTGGGGTAAAAGCCCTTGTGTGGGCCCTGTACATGTGGGTGAATTTCATCATGAGGCCTTTTAGATGAGGTAATAAAGTAATTAATGTAGTTTAAAAGATGATCTGATATCCTGTTGTTGGATTTCTCATTCTTCCGGTTATTATTTGCATTACAGTAGAATCAGTGCCACATGTTCTCGGTACTGTACCAATATGTACCAAGGAGCATACAATCTAGCCTAATGATAACACACAAAAGGCGAAAGGAACAGGCTAAGGGGTGTGAGGGAGCAGATGAGGTAACAGTAAAATGAGCCTGTTTTACACAATCAGCACTAACAGTTCCCCACCTGCCTAGCCTTGTGGAAAGAGATAACACTGCTTTAAAAGCCTATTTCTATTCCACAAATTTATTTTTGAGTTTTATTGTTATTTGAAACTCTAACTGAATTTGCAGTTAGCACCTGTGCATTTGCACTCAGTGGGCTAAATTCAGCTCTAGGTGTAAATGAGTATACCTCCATTGGATTTGACTGGGGTTTGTCTTCCTACACCAGGAATGAGAGCTATTCTGTAGATTAAGATTTCTTAAAGTTGCTACCACTTTCACTGGCAAAATTAAGAATCCAATCTTTTCTTCATTTTACTAACTACTATGAATGTCAGCTCAACGCTTATCCAGACAGATTTTCTTTAATTTATAACATTAACAATCAACTGCTTATCATTTGTTACTGCTAGCCCATCAGTATTTTATTGTTAACGGTATATAAAGCTAAAATATAAGGTTACTATAGCTTTGTTTTATTTTTTTACCTTTGGATAACTTGATTAAAACACAGTTCAGCTTGCAAGAGTCTTCCTAGGTGTTTCAAACAAAGGCCTTTTAGTAACTGCAGCAAGCACAAGTCATCTATAAAATATTCAGTGTGACCTTTAAAACAAAAAAAAGACAAATTTCAGAGATACATGGAAATAGAAAGGAAAAGGCTACAGGGATTAGCAGTGAGGGATACATCCAAACTTCAAAAGTTTTGCCTATCAAATTTTGCAGCCAAACAAGAACATACATAATCCTCTAAACAAATTTTGAATAGTGCCTAATAAAGAATTGAAGAGCAAATTCCAAGCATATCAATAGACTGATTCTTGAAAATAAGAAATTGAAACAGTGGTCCTGATTCTCCACGGTCCTCCATGTTGTGAAGTCATTTAAATCTATGCAAAGTAAACACAAACTGTTATCTAATCAAAATGGAAGCATTTTACACAAACTTTATATTGGCTATAAGAAACTGCAGAATCAGCCCCACAGTTAATAAATCTGAAACTCTGCACACACCACAAGTTACTATGCAGGAATCCAAGGTATCAATCTATTGAACAGCAGACTGCTGTACTGTAATGTACCATGTGAACACTGCTACAGTGCAGTGAAAGTCTATGGGTGCAGCCTAACATAGAATCATAGGACTGGAAGGAATCTCGAGAAGTCATCTAGTCAGTCCCCTGCACTCATAGCAGGACTATTACCTAGACCATCTCCAACAGGTGTTTGTCCAACCTGCTCTTAAAAATCTTTAATGATGGAGATTCCACAACACCCCTAGGCAATTTATTCCAGTGCTTAACCACCCTGTCAGTTAGGAAGTTTTGCCTAATGTCCAATCTTAACTGCCCTTGCTGCAATTTAAGCCCATTACTTCTTGTCCTATCCTCAGAGGTTAAGGAGAACAATTTTTCTCCCCCTCCTTGTAACAACCTTTTATGTATTTGAAAACTGTTAGCATGTCCCTCCTCGGTCTTCTCTTCTCCAGACTAAAAAAAACCCAATTGTTTCAATCTTCCCTCATAGGTTATGTTTTCTAGACCTTTAATCATTTTGTTGCTTTTCTCTGGACTTTCTCCAATTTGTCCACATCTTTCCTGAAATGTGGCGCCTAGAACTGGACACAATACTCCATTTGACGCCTAATCAGCACAGAGTAGAGAGGAAGGATTCCTTCTTGTATCTTGCTTACAATACTCCTGCTAATACATCCCAGAATGTTTTGGGTTTTTTGCAACAGTGTTACACTGTTGACTCATATTTAGCTTGTGGTCCACTATGTCCCCCAGATCCCTTTCTGCAGTACTCTTTCTTAGGCAGTCATATCCCATTTTGTATGTGTGCAATTAATTGTTCCTTCCTAAGTGGAGTACTTTGCATTTGTCCTTATTGAATTTCATTCCATTTACTTCAGACCATTTCTCCAGTTTGTCCGGATCATTTTAAATTTTAATCTTATCCTCCAAAGCACCTGCAATTCCTCCCAGCTTGGTCTCGTCTGCTAACTTTATAAGTGTACTCTTTATGCCATTATCGAAATCACTGATGAAGATATTGAACAGAACCAGACCCAGAACTGATCCCTGCGAGACCGTATTAGATATACCTTTCCAGCTTGACTGTGAACCACTGATTACTACACTGAGAGAATGGTTTTCCAGCCAGTTATGCACCCACCTTATAGTAGTTCCATCTAAGGTTGTATTTCCTTAGTTTGTTTATGAAAAGGTCATGTGAGACAGTATCAAAAGCCTTACTAAAGTCAAGATATACCACATCTACCACTTCCTCCCTCTCCATAAGGCTTGTTTCCCTATCAAAGAAAGCTATTAGGTTGGTTTGTCATGATTTGTTCTTGACAAATCCATGTCGACTGTTACTTATCACCTTAATATCTTCCAGGTGTTTCCAAACTGATTGCTTAATTATTTGCTCCACTATCTTTCTGGGTACTGAAGTTAAGATGACGGGTCTGTAATTCCCCAAGTTGTCCTCATTTCCCATTTTTATAGATTGGCACTATATTTACCCATTTCTAGTCCTCTGGAATCTCTCCCATCTTCCACGACTTTCAAAGATAATTGCTAATGGCTCAGATATCGTCTCGGTCAACTTCTTGAGTATTCTAGGATGTATTTAATCAGGCCCTGGTGACTTGAAGACATATAACTTGTCTAAGTAATTTTTAGCTTGTTCTTTTCCTATGTTAGCCTCTGATCCTATGTCGTTTTCACCGGCATTCACTATGTTAGATGTCCAATTGCTATTAACCTTTTTGGTGAAAAAAATGTAACATACTACTACTTCAAAGCTCAGCATGCTATGCTAACCCACACTCCGGGACATTCACTGTGCTGTAGCCGGGCCCACATGAATTGGTACTGTGTGTCCAGTAGATTCACACCCTGGCTTGCTGCGCAGTAATTCACCACGTGGATACGTTTTTTCTTAAACGCTCTCACCATTCCAAACTATTGGTGCAAGTCTACCAGAGCCAACAACAGGAGTGTTTGTGTATATCGGCTGCCATTGTTTTTACTATCCGCTCCTCTAGAATTCTAAGCTGGAAGCCACTATTAGTGCTCCCACCATTACCACCACTGGAGGAGCTGCATTAGCAGAACTCCAACAGCGAGTAAATTTAACAAAGAAGATTTATGCAGACGCAGCATCTGTGCAACAGGGCCAAAGACATCACATGAAGGCGTTTTGTGAAGTGTTTCATAAGTAAAGTAATAACAAGTGCAGTCCCCTTTCTTGTTGCCTTGGCTTATAATATTTGTTGGCTGCAGTGAAGAAAAGGAAAGAAAACACACATATGGGCAAACAGATGGCTGCACATACATCAATAATTCAGGAGACAAAACACACTCCTTTCAGATCATCTTGTTTACAAATAATTACCAATTCTCTGAGGTTACATCAATTTTTTAAAAATGGTCTGCCAAATAAAACTATACAAACAGTTCTGAAAACATGGAAGACAAAAGCAACTTGAAATAAAATATTTTGCACAGTAAGATTTTTTGTCTGCTTTTAAATATTAGTTTTGATTCCTTTATATAATGATGCAAAAGTCCATGTTTTTCACTAACAGGTACATGTAGGTATGGTGAGGTGAGTTGGCTATTTTGCATTCCTTTGAAAAACTGAGCAGTGATCAAATGTCAAAATCAGGTCAATGTCTCCTACAGGGACTGATTTCTTGCAGTTGCTGGGGGCAGATACTGACTGCTGTCAGTCTTCACTGTCTTTATTTCAACTGCTCTGTTCCTGAAATTTCCTCCCAGAGATAAAAACTAGTAAGTCACAGTGCTACCATTATAATATCACTTGAAGATTACATTAAGTTAATACCGACAGTATGGCAATAAATGGAAGACAGAACCTTCTTGCAGTCTGGCTGTATCTATGTGAATTCTATTCTGAGTATATAATAAAGCTGCAAGACCATCACCCAAAATATTTCAGATTTTCTTTTAAATTATGAATACATTATTTTCATTTGGGAAAGAATACACGGGAATGATGGTGGATTGGTAGAATGTCTCTGCAAGCCATTTCACAACTTCAGAAATTATATTTTCTTTTTCTCTGTCTGCTCCTTCCTATGAATTTTAGTAAAGTTTCGTTGTGCAAACAGAACTGCATACAAATATCCAAATAAAACTTTTATATATGTTATGAAACAAAGTACTCTGACAGACCATATGCTTTTCTTTTCAAGAGACACGTTCTCTAATTCAATTGATTATGAGGGACACATCTTGTCTTATAGCTTAGTGTCCAGGTCTGGATAGTGAACAAAAAGATTGTACAAAAGAACTCATCATATTAACATCATTTTATCTGCAAATGTCTGTCTTAAATGTATTTGCATTTTGGTTGTAAAGTGGCATGCAACAGTAAATAAATCACTTAAGATCGGAGTGGTACGAGACTGAATTGGTAGAAGATGAACGTTTTGACAATGGATGAAGGCATAACAGTGGGCCACATTCAGACTGGGTGTAGTCAAGTCAAAAAACTATATTTACTAGATTTTATTGTTGAAACTTACTAAGCATGTTTTTAATCTTTAAATTATATACATTTAATAGCTATATTAATTTCCTAATGGTTACAAATTATGAACTTGCATGTCACACTAGCAGATTTATGGAATGTATCGCATTTGTCTACAATATGCAGAGGGTTCTATTACCCACTGAATGATTCAGGTGACTATACATATAAAACAATCCAGGCTATCTGTGTGATTTGCCTGCTTGTCCTTCACCCCATCCTTCACTGGTCAGAGCCCTGCTGAGAGCTGGATGCCAACCCTTGCCTTTCACCTACACAACTCTTACTTCATAGATAACATCCTAGGCTGAGCCAAGACAATGGGTAAAGGGTGTCATGCTAAGTGCTTCCAGGAGAAAGAGAAGAGACTGAGGCATAATGTTATAAAGTAAGCAATACAGGAGGCAGTTTACCTGGAGAGAAGGCTCAACACAGAGAAGGAACACCTCAGCTCAGGGAGAGAAAGACATTTTAAAATAGTAAGATGCAATTGAAAAACCACAGAAATTGGCAGAAGGACTCAAGGGCAGGTGTAAGACTTGAAATTTCTTTTAAATCTTTAATTGTCCATTTCTAGGTGACAAGGTCCCTTTATACACTAACATACAGTCTACATTTCAAATGTGGGCAAGTCATAACTGGAGACTCTTGAGTCATAACTCTGAAAGACTTTGGGGAAGCAAAAAAATAAAATTATAGTTTCATATTTGCCATGCTAAATCCGTAAGGTTTATGGTAGAATTCCAAATTTTAGGGGTTTATGTCAGTAAAAGAAAAAAACAGAGCACAGGATCATAGAAAAGTAGAGCTGAAAGGGACTTTGAGAAGTCATCCTGTCCAGCCCCTTGTGCTGAGGCAGGACCAAGTAAGCCTAGACCATTCCTTGCTGTATGCAGTGTTGTTGTAGTTGCATTAGTCCCAGATATTAAAAAGAGACAAGGTGGGTGAGGTAATATCTTTTATTGGACCAACTTCTGAGAGAGAGAAGTGTTTGAGCTTACACAGCTCTTCTTCAGGTCTGGGAATTGTACCCAGAGTGCCATACCAAAATACAAGATGGAACAGATAACTCACTAACAACAACCCCAGCTGCCTTTCCCCGCTGTGAGTGGAGGGGTGTTAACAGCCACTTCATCTTGAATGATCCCTTGAAATATGTGCTACGATCTGGTCCACCTTGCATTTAGCTGTGATTCTCTGAGTACGTTTCCCAGACCAGAAGAAGAGCTTTGTAAGCTTGAAAACTTCTCTCTCTCACCAGCAGAAGTTGGTCCAATAAAAGATATTTCGTCCTGCACCTTGTCTCTCTATTGTAGACCATCCCTGACAGATGTCTGTCCAACCTTTTCTTAAACCTGGAACCTCCCCTGGAAGCCTATTTCAGTGCTTAACTATGCTTATAGTTAGAAAGATTTTCCTAATAAATAACCTAAATTTCCCTTGCTGCAGTTTAAGCCCATTACTTCTTGTCCTACTGTCAGTGGACATGGAAAACAATAGATCACAGTCCTCTTTAAATCAGCTCCTAACTTATTTGAAGATTGTTATTAGGTCCCCCCTTTATCTTCTTTTCTCCAGACTAAACATGCCCAGTTTTTTTAACCTTTCCCCACAGATCAGGTTTTCTAAACCTTTTATTATTTTTATTGCTCTCCTCTGGCCTCTCTCCAATTTATACACATCTTTCCTAAAGCATGGTGCCCAGAATAGGATACAGTACTCCAGCGGAGGCCTCAACAGTGCCAAGTAGAGCAGAACAATTACCTCCTGTGTCTTACATACTACACTCCAGTAAATGCACCCTAGAATGACATTAGGCTTTTTTTGCAATTGCATCACACTGTTGACTCATTCAGATTGTGATCCACTAAACTGCCAAGATCCTTTTCAGCAGTACTACCACTTAGCCAGTTATTCCATATTTTGTAGTTGTGCATTTCATTTTTCCTTCCTAAGTGTAATACTTTGAATTTGTCTTTATTGACTTTCACCTTGTTGATTTCAGACCAGCTTCCCAATTTGTCAAGGTCATTTTGAATTCTAATACTGTCCTCCAAAGTGCTTGCAACCAGTCCCACCTTGGTGTCATCTGCAAATTTTTATAAGTATACTCTCCACTCCATTATCCAAGTCATTGATGAAAATATAGAATACAACTGGACACAGGACTGACCCTTGTGGGACCCCACTACATACATCCTCCCAGTTTGACAGCAAACCATTGATAACTATTCTTTCAGTAGAGCCTTTCAACAAGTTTTGCACCCATCTTACAGTAATTTCATCTAGACCACATTTTCCTAATTTGCTTAAGAGAATGTCATGTGGGACTGCATGAAAAGGCCTACTATAATGAAGATATATCATGTCTACTGCTTCCCCCATATCTTTAACCCTATCAAAGAAGAAATTAGGTTGGGTTGGGCATGATTTGCTCTTGAGGAATGCATGCTAGCTATTCTTTATAGCCCTATTATCCTCTAGGTGCTTACACATTTAAAGTTTAATAATTTGTTCCAGTATCTTTCTAGGTATCAAAGTTAGACTGACTGTTCTATAATTCTCCAGGTCCTCTTGTTCCCCTTTTTAAAGATAGGTACTAAGTTTGCCCTTCTCTAGTCCTCTGGGACCTCACCTGTTCTCCATGAGTTCTCAAAGATAATTGCTAATGGTGCTGAGATTGCTTCAGCTAGTTCCTTACGTACCCTAAGATGAATTTCATCAGGCCCTACCTATTTGAATACATCTAACTTATCTAAATATTCTTTATCTTCTTCTTTCCCTATTTTGGCTTGCATTCCTTCCCCTTGCTGTTAATACCAATTGTGTTGAATATCTGGTAACCATTAACTCTTTTAGAAAAGACTCAAGCAAAATAGGCATTAAGCACCTCAGCCTTACAGATCATTAGTTATTATCTCTCCTTCCGCACTAGAAGACGTACATTTTCCCGTGTCTTTCTCTTGCTCTTAATGTATTTAAATAGCCTCTTCTTATTGCATTTTATGTCCCTTGCTAGGTATATTGCTAGGTATAACTCATTTTGTGACTTCGTCTTTCTGATTTTGTCCGTACATACTTGTGCTGTTCATCTGTACTCTTCTTTAGCAATTTGTTCATGTTTCCACTTTTTGTGGGATTCCTTTTTGATTTTCACTTAGTTAAAGAGCTCCTGTTGGAACCATATTCTTCCTATTTTTCCTTCACATTAGGAGAGTCTGCACTTGTACATTTAATATGGTCTCCTCTAGAAACTGCCAGCTGTTCTGAACTCCTTTATCCCTTACATTTTCTTCCCAGGGGACTTATGTAACACTTCTCTGAGTTTGTTAAAGTCTGCTTTTTGAAGTCTATTGCCCTTATTCTGTTACTCTCACTTCTTCCTTTCCTTAGAATCATTTAATCTATAATTTCATGATCACTGTCACCCAAATTGCCTTCAACCTTCAGATTTGCAACCATGGTGATGGGTACTTCCTCCACTGCATTAGAGTTATTTTGTTGAAAATACAGTATGATATTTAGGGACGGAAACTAGAAAAAAAATCAACTCTCAGGCAGAAAGTCAATGCTTTACTTTGGTTAAACTCAGTGAGAGAGAGGCATGTTTGGGTTTGCTTTGTCTGAAAGAGAAGTATTTAGAGATGGGATAGTGGACTTGCCTTTAATATTGATTTCTGACCTGTTGTAGATGGATTTTTGTTTGGGTGTCTTTTCTCTATTCATTAGGGATTAAAATCTCATAGGAACAGGTGGTGTAATTATTGATACCATTATTTAGAGTATAATTAGAATTTGGGTTCACATGCTGTCCACTTACCTCTTTGGTTTTCTTTACTACCCAGGATATTACATTCCTTCCATTTCCTGCTTTCAGACTGTTTTGCCATCTCTCCCTGGCTATTACCTGTAGCCCAGAGTTCAAAGGACTGTTTATAGTTCTACAGGTTAGCTTCTCCAGGTTGGGGCTTCAATGCTTTTGGCTGCTTTACTAAAGCCTTGGCCTGGCTGAAATTTTATACCTTAAGGTGGAGGTATTTTGGCATTATTTTTTTTAAATGTAGGGGATTTTATTACTAGCAGCAATTAGAATGGGCTTATACGATAACTGAGGATCCTGAACACCTCTGAACTCTGAGGGTTTTACGGTTCAGGTACAAACTTTGTGACCCTATGTCTAATAATATTATTAGTTAGCACATCTATAGTGCTTTGTATTTTCAAAACACTGTGCACACATTAACTAATGATATATTACTTAATCACAGACATTTTTATCTGGGGGTGGATGGGGGATTTCTATTATAAATGACTGGAAAAAGTGTGGTTAAAATCTTGGTGTTAAACAAGGATTTTTTAAAATAGAACATTAATGAAGAAATAAACAAACTTTTTATTTGTTTGAGTAGCTAAGGTTCATGAGAAAACTGATGTGGGGTACTTATATTCTCCATACAATTCATTTTAATACTAGAACTCAGTAGAAAGGTGTACTGCTGAGGCAAAACAGCAATGGGTGAAGCTGTGTTGCTTGCCTAACAGGCAAAAGTGTCCATTGGAGAAAACATGAGTCAGGGAAAGTGAATACAGCCATTAGCTTTTGAAGTGCATGTGTTATTTTTTTATGCCTTTCTTTTCATCTTATATAATTATTATTAATTTATGAACCAGCTGTTTGAGTCTGAAAGTATTTATTTTGAATATTCACACTTCCAAGAGCCACAAACTCTCTCTACAGTCAATAGCTAAACTTTATTGTCTTTTAGTACTCATTGCAATACTACTATTTTTAGCTTTCTTGTGGGTGTGGCAGGTGACTCCATTGATACTGCCATGTCATTTACTATTAGTCAAGTTCCACTCATCATCCATCAGTGTCCTCCACAATGCAGTTACACTATGGAAGAATGTCTTGAATATGAGTTAAATATTTTCAGACTTTTCCAGGAAGATCAATTTGGTTCCTTTTCTAGAGATCACTCCTCAGAGATAGAATTCTCTCTCTGAGACCCAACATCATCTTGCCAAAATATACCCAAGTTGCTCGGTTTTCCATGCTCTCCTTTTGGAGTCAACCTGATTTTGAAAGACATTTTAGAAGTACCAGTAAGTAAAGATACTACTGTGAACCATAATTACAGCAAATATTACATTCCATGAGATCAGCCGGGGAGTTTATATCCAGAGCCAGTTCTTTCCTTGCAAGACACATGAACATGGTACAAAAAACTTAACTGACAAGGTTTCTGAATAGCTTTTTACTTTCTTACCCTAAATGACTACTTACTAGTTTGATTCTGTAAAGCAGTTTCTTCTTTCTCAATTGTTATCAGTAAACTTTCTGTGAGGTCAGCCCTTTTGCCTACAATTGCAAATCCATTCCAGACATACATCATTTCCTGACAAAAGAAACAAGAACAATCCCTTGGATCAATATCTACATTTAGCCAACAGTATAATTTGGATGGCTGCTAATGATGTCTTTTTCAGCACACATGCCCACACTATATATATAATTGTAAAGTTAATAAGTGCCAGAATTAACGTTGCCTGGACACATCGTAAATATGGAAAAAATAGTATATGATCATGTAATTAAAGACTTTATCATAACACATACACACAAGAGAGGCAAATCAAGGTTGCACAGGTAACCTTAATTCTGGCAGTTCCTAAGTTATGAGTGCTTGACATTGCAACCTTAACAATGTTAACACAGTTTGTGTGTGTCGTTCCCTAGATTTTTTTTTTAAAAGGAAAACTAAAAACCCAGAAATTCCATCATTTGGGATCATATGAACACCCAGATGATTCATCAGCAGTGTCAGAACCCGTAGATTCACCATGCAGATTTCCCCTCAATTTGGCTCTTGTTCCCTCTGTATTTGAATCAGTCAGCTTCCTCATCCACAGTGAGTGTGTGCTAGCAGAGGGTCGCTGAGAGCGACTGTCTGTGCTCTCAGTTCCAGTGACCAGCCTGGAGCAGTTATGTGGGGATGGAACATGCTCAGTCCAGTCAGACATGGAAGTTGTGAGGGACTAGAGTGTGCCCAGTTAGGGTGGAATCTTCTGAGGTTTTAGATGCTGAATTCTAAGAAGTCACTACTGAACATATTTGAACTGAGATTTTTCAAAGGTTTATAATTTGGCCAGTTTTTGGTGGATTTTCACATGGATGGCAATGGCCACCCCCACAGCCAAATGTGAAATCCTTTCTCCATATGATGATGGTGCCAAAGGTTCTCAAGAGAAAAGGTAACCAGAATTTTAACAACACTGAAAAACAACACTTTCCCTGAAAGTTTGTTCTTTTTCCTATTTGATATAAGTACTTATTCTGTTATTTAAACCAAACTGAAAGAAGGCAGCTTTCAATACCAGGGCAGGTAGTATGAGCTTCACCGGCTGAGCACCAGTATAGCGTCGAGCTTTCCTCACTGCTAACTTTTCTGTTGGGATAGATTTTCCTGCAATTCTTTGTCTTAGACCATCCACTTGTCTGTATGGGGAAAAATAGATAACAAACAAAGTAATAATTATAACATGTTTCTCTATTTATAAAATAGAAACACTCCAATTCAACACATGAAGTAGTTTCTATTCCCGTGTCTTTGACAAGTGGTTCCCAGCCAATGATCAGGATTACTACGGTAAAAGTGTCTCACCTAGAAAGCAACATCCAAAAAAAGTCGTAAAACATATAACAAAATAAAATATATGTAAATAAAAATGCAAGAACACGAGTGATAATCACTTCATTTAATCTTTAGTTGATCTTTACTTCTTTTCACTAGATTTGCTAACTTTTGTATTAAAAGTTTAAGCATAAACCTTTACACCAAGTTTAACACCACTTAACCAACAGATGCTGGCTAAATGTTTGCTAATATTATCCCAGTTAAACAGCTGTCATTCGTATTCACTATGATTGAGAAAAATCAGTTCCTCAAAAGGTGTTCCAGTTAAACTGATTTCCCAAATAAATGAATCCTGATTAAGCCCATCATACTATATTAGCCCAGAGCTTCAGCCTTTTGTCACTGGTTTTCTAGGCCTTCCACACCTTAACAATGAGCATCCACGTGGGACCACACTATGGCACTCAGTGTTGCTATATATGTCCAGCTGCTCTACCCATTTAGTAAGAATATAAAAGTTTACCTGAACAAAGATACAATATCTTCTCCAGTTGTTTTCACATCCTCATCTGGAAGCATACACAAAATTGCAGCTTTCTGGAATACATATATTGCCTACCCAAAACAAACAAATCCCACCCCAACATTATATTAGGAAATGATTTGCAATATTAGATCAGAGCATTGGTTTATCAAGCGTGGCATCCTTCCTTCAGCAGTGAGGCACACACTTGTAACACACACCCACACACACCACGCCGCAGGTTTCCTTTTTCTTTTGATTTATACCAAATTCCATTTTCAACTAATTCATCAATGATTAATATTGACAAATTAAAATAAAATATTTTAAGAGAGCTTTTTCTTCCAAACATGTAGATTAATTTATTATGTAAACTCATAAATTAAAGAAAACAGCCTCACTCCACAGATGACAGACCAGCCTATTCCATAGTTTGGGGGTGTTTTGATTCAAGGATTTTGTTAGGCCCATCTCTCAACATACCCCCATGAACCCATATCCAAGCAGGTTGTCTGTCTAAGGAACTTCACTGGAAAGAGCAGTAAGTGGAATTTGCAATGAAACTTGTGGAAATTCATAAGTCTCCTATTCACTTTCAAAGGATGAAACTTGTAAGCTTCACTTAAGTATCAACTGGATATAGTATTCTCTTCATTTTTCTTGGCAAAAGCAAGACAGACACCCCAAGCAGAAGATAGTATTCAGTTTTGACAAAAATAAAAGACGTATGTTCAAGTATTTTCTGAATGTTGGCTTCATTTTTGGTTTTCATTTTGAGGTGTCTATTTGCAAGGAAAAGGGTAAGAGACTTTTTTTTTCTTTTTTTGTGCTGGAGCTTCTTATTTTAAGCTCATTGACGCTGACTAGCTGTTTGGATAGTACTATTTGATTAACTTTTTAAAATAGGAGTTTAATCAACTAACTTTTGTTCTTGTACATTAGATCTTGATTAAATTAATCCAGTGAACTTTGTTTTTCCCTCTCTCTTTTTTTGGTCTCTGGTGAACATCTCAATTTATATGGTGTTGAAATTCACAAACTCGTTGTTTACTAGTTTACTTCAAATTTGAGAGCAAAAGTCTACCTCTGCCACACACTGAACCTAATATTTTTAAGGCCAATGTTCTTTTGTTTATGGATTTAAATTGGGCTCATTATGGAAACTGAAATTCACCCTTAACTACGGAGTGGCTACTGCCATGTCATCATAATGTCCACCTGCCCATTTACCTTAGACCACCTGCTCTCTTTGCAGAGCAGGTCTGCATACCGATATGCTTGAAGCCATTTCTGCTGGAATGAGTAGCACCACATCAGTTCCCAATAACAGAGGTGATGAATCTGTTTCCACTCTTGCTGAGCAGCAACGCATTCTTCAAATTTTGACTGTGCCTACAGTTCATTTCAGTAAAATAGAATAATGACAGAGGGAAATGATAATTTTACTAATTACAGTACAACATGAGAACTATAGCTACTTAGCTAACTAATGAGCCAAATCCTCTCCCCAACATCTTGGGCAAATAAATGGGCTAGATACTAGAGAAGTCACAAAGGCAAGGCAAATTCATTCATCACCCAGACTGTAAATAGAATACAGACCTAAAAGTGGCAATTCTTCAACAAAAAAACTTCAAAAACAGACTTCAATGAGAGACTGCTGAATTGGAATTAATTTGCAAACTGGATACCATTAACTTAGGCTTGAATAAAGTCTAGGAGTGGATGTGTCATTACACAAAGTAAAACTATTTCCCCTTGTTTATTTCCCCTCCTACTGTTCTTGTAAAGTGCTGGAAATGGCCCACCTTGATTATCACTATAAAAGGTTCCCCCCCCCCCCCCACACACACACACCCCTGCTGGTAATAGCTCACCTTTCCTGATCACTCTTGTTACACTCTGTATGGTAACATCCATTGTTTCATGTTCTCTGTGTATATAAAATCTCCCCACTATATTTTCCACTGTATGCATCCGATGAAGTGAGCTGTAGCTCACGAAAGCTTATGCGCTAATAGATTTGTTAGTCCCTAAGGTTCCACAAGTACTCCTTTTCTTTTTACAGATACAGACTAACATGGCTGCTACTCTGAAACCTGTCACCCAGACTGTGAAACTGTTCCACCTCAAGGGCTGGAATAAACTCTATTGTACCATCGTTTCCCAAACCCAAATGGAGAGAAAACCAGAGAGATCTATCCAATTAAAATCAATGGGACGACTAAGCTGAGCAAGGCAAGCACTGAATTTATCCCAAAGTCTTACACAGTACACAAATCTAGAACTACGATAATAAAAAATTAATAATAAATGAATAACAATTAATTACCTTTTCAAAATTTCCTTTCAGTATATCTATTCTGGCATCATAAAACAAAATGATGGAACCCTTGAGAGGAAAAGAAAAAACAAATAAATAATCCCTACTTTAATCATGGGAGTATTTATTACTTGTTTTTGTAAAATACATCAAGAGTACGCACATTTGGAAACTTCTGGAGGTAGGGTTCAAGAAGAGTCTCTGCTTCCTGAAGGTTGGCTTCCCCTATACCTACAATCATCACAAAAGAAGCTCAGTCTCACCAGAGCAAAGCAGATTTTTACAGATTAATCTCCAAATTACATTACAGTTTGACTAGAAGATTCGTGAACAGTCTTTGGCTATATAAAAGGGGAAATTATTATTTTATTATATTGAGTTTCACTAAAAAACAAAATCACATCCTCGAACCATTAATCACCTTTAGGGTAATAAATGTCCCCAGTACAAATGGAGCAGAATAAACAAACAAACTGTCTTAAAATGAATTTCTTCATTAGGGCTTTTTTTTTTTTTAATACAAACAACAATCCTAGTTTAATCTTGTCAGAAAGTTAGGAAAAACTTCTTCATTCCCCTCACTTCCTAATTTTCATCTCAATAATCAACAGCAGATGGTACTGGGGCGAAATGACAAATTTCTAAATTTCCTGACAAGTCTAGAAAAATGGGAGGAATATTCACAAGTTCAAAGATGCAAATATATATCGGGAACACAGGTAAACTAATTATGACTTTAAACCTAAGTAACCTGACCAATTTTATAGGAGCCTGAAGTTCTAAGGGCTTCATACCACATACATTCCTGACCTTCTAGCTAGAGTACCATCCCAAATTCCCAGTCTCTGGTCTCATCAGGCTCTGCCTTTTGGTTCAGCATCTGGCTTGTATGCCCCAGCAATATTTGTGAAATGTGTGTGTTTGATAGGTATGAGCTTGAAGATATACTTCATGGGGGGCAGGGGGAGCGAATACAAATAAAAGGTAATCATCTTTGTGTTTCTTTCTCTCCATCCCTCCTGTATTTTCCCTTCAGATCTAGGGAGGCCTATAAACAGACAAAAGTATACACATATACACAAATATGTATACATGTGTGTGTACACACACACACAGAGAAAGAGGCAAGCAGATAAATAAATGTTTAATATAGTAGTACACATTTGTTCCCCTACTTATTTTTCAATATTTTCAGCATTAAACTATGTAATGTCCTAATATAAATTTAATAATCCCATTATTCCAGTTTTTTTTCTAAACAGTGAGTCAATAAAAATTTACAAAAGAGTATGAAATATTTCACAATATGTTTACAATGTCACATAATCCAGGAACTATATTCCAGTTCTTACCAAGGATTAAAGAGACGTAAGTATGATATACCAGCAGGGTAAAAGTACATAGTATGGCCCTCAAACTGGTACCAGAGGCACCTTCCCGCAGCTGATGGAGGCCCAAGTTCTATAGAAATCACAAATATGTAGAGATTTAGCTATCAAATAGATTAAAGGTGATAATTTAATAAAAATGATATAATTTTAAGCAGTCAAATTTCAACAGAAATTTCAATCATTTCATTTTTCCTTTTAGGTATACTGATCTCTTAATTTATTACCTGGCACAAATCCTGAATGACCCACTCTCCCAATGGGAGGAACAATGGGATAAATCAATGGGACTAGTCCCCTTCTTAAAATTAAGAATGTGCTTAAATCCACTAGTAGAATGGGAATAGAGCACTTAGTGCCTTGCAGGATCAAGCCCTTGGTGTCCTTTTCCTTTCTCGGCCCCATCCACTGGCTGGGGACCTCCCCCAACATTCCCATTCACACCTGTAGCCCATATGCATTCAGATAGGAATCCCACACACAATGAAATACTCCCCCTTTTCACCTCTATCCCTAGGCAGAAACCTTCCACTCATGTTCACCTTTCTCACTGACACACTTTGGCAGAGACCCTCCTCCTATCCACCCTTTTGCAGCAGCTCCTCCACAGACCCCTGAAATATTCAACCCTCTTCCACCATCAGATAATATTTTGGGAGGCCCTCACTGAACTGCTTTCCCAATAGATTACACCCCACCCCCACTTCTATGCCCCATTTGCAGCAACTCCCAATGTCCTGTGAATGCTGAAGAGAAGTATTATAATCTATGGAGACCATGTCAGGGAGGTAGGGAGCTCATTTATATAAAGTCTCTGCCCCACCCGCAGTTTCCATGGTTCTGACTGTAAAGAGTCTGAGCAGCTGCTCCCTGCCCATTCCATGCCTGCTCAACTCTCTTTAGGAGCAGTCAGGCTAGCTCAGGGCTTTTCCATACAATAAAGCGCTCTTAGAATATGAAATCCAGCATCCGTGTGCACAAATTTGATTTTAACAATTTTGCTTTTTGAACTGGTGTTCGTTTAAAAGGAGTTCTAAACATCTAATGTTTAGATGCTTGGTACAGTGCCTAAATTTGTTCTGTAGCTTAACAAGTTGTGATGATAATATCTCAAAAGGTTTCAGCTTTGATTCCTTCTGGATTATCAATTAATTAATTAATTATTATTATTCTGATTGGACCCTAGGGTGTACTTTGTCTTTTTATCTGTTGTTGTAAAAACCAATTACCAGTCATGAATAGCTTACATTCTCATTTTACATATCACAAGCAATAGCTGTGGGAAAGGTAACAGTAATACGATCCTACAGTGACTCAGCTGTGTCCCATGCACATTTCAAAATTTAGCTACCTGATATTTTTTATATTGTTTATTTAACCCATTTCTTGTAGGTAGCAAGGCAGAGGGGAGTTTTAAAAGGAATGTACATGAGGAGAGGATACGTACATAAAGGGCTAGATGATGACTTGGAGTACTCTCCCACATGGGGGGAGAGGAGTAAGAACCTTCCTTATGCCTCTGAGTAGGCCCCATACTCTTGGGATTGGGCACACATGAGTAAGGTAGAGCTGTGCACTCACAAATCTTTCCTCCCAGAGCAAGAGGGGTGGGAAATAGACAGGGCCCAGGCTACACTTCTAATGGCTGGTGGGGAAGATGTAGGAATTTGCTGCTAGTTTAGGCCAGCAGAACATTACTACCCTCTCCTTGAGGCAATGGGGAAGTAGGAAGGAAACTGTGCCTCAAAGGCAACGTCTCCCAGGGCTAGTCCTGGAGTGGTGGAATTTATGCACCATCATTTGTTCAGGGTGTACCTAAAGGAACAATTTTTACCTATCATTAATATTTTTGATGGGCATTTAAAAGACCAAATGTAAAAAAGCTGACTTAAATGTACCGTACCTTTCACTTTACACATTTAAAATTAAATCCTTCCACACTCCACCAGAGAAAGCACTAACATTTTAAAATCAAATTTAATACCCTATTGCCAGAAAACCCAATAAATTCCAGAAGTCGGAGAATCCTTCCTGGTAAAAGGGACAGCATCTGCAATATCAAACAAAGAGAAAAAAATGAGAGTTTAATCAAATATACAAACCTTATGTGCAATATTCAAAAGAAAACAAATTCTAAAAACTGCTATAAATCTACAACCATTTCAATAGCGTGAAAAATATCAAAATACAAATATAAATACACTTTTAAAAAAATCTTGAAGTACACATGCATGATCAGGCATTGTGCAACCACTTTACATGTGTGACACCATTTCAGCTCCCACTTGGTCTTGCATCATGGAAGCCACTAGACCACACCACACCGTGCTTTCTCAAGATGATGACTTCTTATTTCAGGCTGATTTGCAATGTCAATAAATTGTGGGTTATTTTGGGTGAGGGTGAAATATTTTAATATTGACTATAGTGCCTATATTATTCTTTCTATTGTGGTAGCACCAGCATCTAAATAGTCTTTTTTTTCATTCCTCCTTTAAAAAACATTTTTAGCATTTCCAATCAGATAATTTAACACTGTCACCTTGGAAAGTTCTCTTTGTGACTATTTTGTAAGGATGGAACTAGTTGTCCATCTTTGCCCCACATGGAACACAATGGAAAACTTTTAAGGTTAGCAAACAACTTTTTAATAAACATATCAAAAGGAAGGTCTGGTTGATGACCAGTGTTGGAGAGGATCAGTTCAGTTTAGTTTATAATTGGTCTGTTTGTCTAGATAAGACTTTTTTTTCCCCTTCAAATTTCCTACTGGGGAACCTCCACTGATGGTAGCAACAAGGAATGCTAGTATAATCAGGCTGCCACTGGTTTCTTGTATTTTAGGACTATATTGTCTAGTCCTGCTTTAAATAGCATTAAATGACATAGTGGTTAACATGAGAGCAACTAGTCTACATTAGTACTCTCACTGTTATTACCATGAGTGGTAATGCAATGATCAGACATTTGAAATAAATTACTAGTGCAGACACCTAGATTTATAGATTGTAAGGCCAGAAGGGACCATTGTGATCACTGCTTAACTCAAAAGGAGGGCATCTAAGGTCAGGATACAACAATAAAAATATTAAAATACAGATGTCCATATTAGCTTATCTAGTGATGGCTGCAGTATATTGCTTTTATATATTGTCAGAAATAGTATTTTTTCTTTAACAGTAGCTTCAGCACACAATGCAGACACCGGAGTTTCTATGTTCAATATGTTTTTTTTAAAATAGGTTAGGAAGTTGTAAAAAAATAGCAGGCATGCAAGAAGAAGTCACCACCTACTACTGCCACTTTGAATAAAGGTTCTACAAGGTCACCACATGAGCCTGCAAAATCCACCCACTCTGCACTACAAGACTGTCTCATTTATAAAGTGATGGCACTTTAGACTAAACTTTCATTTCCGCAAAGTAAGTAACCTAATATAGAACATTATGTCCATATAAACTCCAGTAAATTAGATTCTACCTAATGGTCTTTTTACAGTTTCAAATTCTAAAAACATACCAAATTGAATGCTCCTATTCCAAGTTTTACTCCTCCTTCAAACTGATGGTAGGTTTCTTTTTTTTTTTTATTGCCCTGAGTCATCTGTAGCACCTGATGGCATTCTCTTAATTCAGAGAAGAAAAAGAAAATACAAGTGAGAGGTGATGACAACAAAAATTAGACCAATGTAATTTTTTAAAAAGAATATGGCACTAATGAAATTGCACCTGCTTACCCCAGGGCTAAATGTGACCACACGTATTGTAACAACTTACTTGTATATTTGATAACTTGTCCTAATTTTGAGGCCACCTTTGATAAAGTTGATCATATTTTCATCCTGGAAAAAACAATTTGTGTGTGCACAATGTGCAATTTGTTTTCCATTATGAAGTTGTGCACAACATATTTCTAAGAAATTGTTTCCTTTTAACTAAATCTTTCTTTTGACAACTAATAAAGATAATAATAAATATATAAAAATAAATAATAAATATATAAAATTTAAAAAACAAAAAAACATTTTTCAGTAATTAACTTTAGTCTTACAAATGATTACACAGTATATGCTGAATTGTCCAGGAGACATTTTTCTGTGTATTTTGAATGACATGCTTTAAATAAAAAACAAGTTAAAAAGAAGTGAAAATCAACAAAAAATAGGGCTAAGAGAGAAGAAAGCACTTCAGCAACATATTGACTGAAATAAGAAATTCTCCACCAGATGGTGCTACAGGAACTTTTTAGAAAGAGTTTCTAAAGTGTGCACTCTAAAATATGTATACATGAGCAGAGAACAATACAGAGGAGATCCCAAAGCGTCCCCTAACCAGATGAATTCCACGGGCTGATCAGTAGCAACTCCAACTTGCCTTGGGTTGCTGTAGGACAGCAAACAATAGATATTTCCCAAAACATTATATGTTACTTTCTGTAGAAATGTAACTATACCTACTCTTTATTTTGAATTTTCCCACAGAAAAATTTCATTCTATAAAGGCTTAACATCCAAACTCATTTAGCTTTTTAAGATTCACTCTTCAGTTAAATCCACTGATGGGTTGCTGGGTGTTTTGGTTTAGTTTTATCTTTTTCTCCTTAATTAATATTTATTTTAAGACCTTGAGCCTGCTAACAGTAATCCCATTGGAGTTGGGGGAAATGGGGCAAATAGGCTAATGGAGAAAATGTGAGAATTTTAAATCGCTCCCTCCCCTTAAATGTGTGGCCCTTTCAGCCAACTTAACTCATTTTCTAGTGCAAAAACTATATCAGTACAAACTAATTTATATTAAACAAAGCTAATTAATGTTGGCTTCTGGGTGAAAAAATTGCTTCTGAAATAGCTGCTGAGCTTTCGGAGAAGGGCTAGGGGTCCAAATGGAACCCGATGACGTTTAAAAAAAGAAAGAGAGAGAGAGATGCATCTACCCACAACCAAATATATTCAAAATAGTAAAAAGAAGGTATTTACAACCTCTCCCTTATTGTTTTCTCATCATTTTACTAGGAATTGCTTTTCATTATGGAAAGATAGAACCTAAAAGTGTTTTTTACAAAAGACTTATGAGCCATTTTCTAACAGTTATAAACCACTTCAGGGTGGGCATTAGTAGACTAGTGATGCAAATTGCAGTTGGTGAAGACACTTGGCTTCAGGATATACACCTCATAATAAACCCAACATGAACACAACTAGCTTATGATTGTAATACATTCCTATAAGGTAGCTAGCACTGTTTCAGCTGTATATGAACCAGAGAACAAAAAAGGAAATGCTGCTATGTGATCAGCATCAACTGAAATACTGCTAGTCAGAAAGGAAGTTCCCATCTGCTTCATCTATGTGCAGCAATGCACTGTTGATAGGTGAATCACAGGAATGCTCCACCCTCCTGATACTCATGAGTAGTGACCAGTGTCCAGTGACCAGTATACTTAACGACGGTCCATCAGTGTCATGAACCGATATAACAACATGTCTTAGACCACAGGACAAAGGGATATGAGGTGAGCAGATATATTATTTAAAATATATCTATGTATCTAAATGGAAAACAAATTGTAGGGTAGGATAGCATGTTGAATTTTCATTTATTTCCTATTAAATAAACAAACAGTTATTCACTGTATAGCCTTTCTTTCCCCGCAAAAATATTACATCTTTTGTGAGTGGAGTGCTCTTGTTGGATGATTACTAGCATCTTTCTGCTAACCTGCACATTCACAGAGAGATCTGAAGTGAAGAACAGACATTACCTGTACAAATGTGAGTGCTGCTTTCTGTAGCAAACATTCAGCATAACAGATTTCTGCATGCATTTCCTCTATTAAAAACAGAAAGAAAAGGAACAAAGGAAGCCTCAAATTATTTATTGCAGATACAGTATTTTTGTTCACATTCAAATGCAGTATTTGTCAATCACTAAAACAATTTTGACAACAAAATAACTGGTTTTGTTGTTAATTTTCAAGCCACTCAAACACCTGTCAAGAAAATTAGATGAAAAACTAGCTAAAATTAGTCTTCTATGTCACCTCTCTTCAGCCAACAACCTAGACCCCTTCCAATCAGGCTTCAGTACAGGTCACAGTATTCAGACATCACTCATTGCTTTGATATGGTATGGTACCACTGCAAGGTAAGTATGTCCATTCTCATCCTGCAGCATTCGATACTGTTCAGCAAATAGTCTTGTACTCCCTTCAGGGACTGCAGGTTGGGGTGGGCTGGCGGGGTGCTGAAGGAGAGGGAGGCTGAGGGGCCCCAAGGATGGACTATGGGGGGCTGGAGAGGAAAGGAAGATTGAGGGGACCCTACGGGTGGAGGGATAGACTCTGGGGAGATAGAGTCCACTATTTCAGCAGTGGACTTGCCCTGTGTGGCAACTGCAGACTTGTACTGCAGTAGTGAGCTGTAGAAAAATTGCATCCTTAAAAACTAGGAGACCATCATGTTCATTTTCATGTATAATGTCTGCCAGCAATCACAATTTGAGCCCACTTCTTCATCATCATTACACCAACTAGCGCATTAAATGGAAAGCAAGTGGACATGAATAAAGAAAGATTCAATAATTAGAAGTCCCTTATCTTACTTAAAATCTGATTACAAGACAGACATATCATAAAATTAAATTTTAAACAGTATGAAAGTATTGAAAGAAGCAAAATTCTTACACATGCACTTAGATCCCATGGTAGTAGATGCCTTAGAAAGGCAACAAACAGAGATACTACACTGCAGTATGTGTACTCCACTTATTATATAAATGAAAAATAATAAATCTCTATTTGTCTCTATTCAATATTTTATTATACTGCAATAATTATATCATCAAAAATTACAAAAACACTTCCTATAATATTCTGAAGCTCAGAATATTTCATAAATCAGAACTGTTCTTTTAAAATACTATTCCTTGTAAATCCTGTACATTTATGATCATATATAAATTTCTCCTTTTATGATACAATTTTTAATTTGTTCAGGGAAATAAACAAGGCAGCTGGGATTTTAAATGAACGTAACATCTACCAAATGGTGAGTGCTGTATTATATGCTGAATCTTTGGAAGCTAAACTCAAAACAGGCTCTACTTCAAGCAATTAGGTATTTAAGAATGTAAACCAAAATTACAGTGAGGAAAATTAAATAATGTATTGAAGCTACACACTGAGTTCACACACTATTATTTAGATTAAGTGACAATTTGGCTTTTAGTGATATTCAAAACACATACACCAGGCATGAAACTCAACATGGACTTTTTATTGGTGTATGGAGACCTAGGGCCATCTGTTTCCTTTAACAGTCAAAATTCATACTTCAGAGGTAAATCTCAAGCCTATTGAAAGTTCAGGGGTATTTGAGTCAACACAATTTCTATGATAATGTGTATTTAAAAGGCTAAGAGATTGTAAACCATCTACCAGAAAAATGAGCTGTACAAGTTGAATTGCATGACATTTATTTCTATGAAAAAACTGTTGCAACCAGCAAAGGACAGGATACAAATATCCATAACAAGCGGCCAAAAAAACCTAACACCTTCCTGTGTTGAGGATCACTGAGATATTACATATATAGCTTTTTTAGCAGAGGGCCACAGCTTTTAGCCAAGGACAATGCTTAAATTAAGTTTGCGCAGCCTGAGATAAAGCCCCCACTCAATGGGGGAGTGTGATTAAGAAAGTTGTTACAGTGCATGCAATTAAACATTTCCAGGACGATCACATGATTTGCTGAAGTACCATCTTCCAAAAGCAATACTTCTGGGAATGATGAAAAGCAACAGGAACACAATATTACAATTGCTGCTAATACACACACATATTAAAAACTCAAACTCATAACCCTTGAAGATTATCAGATGTTATTCCAAAACTTTTGAAAATTGAACCCCACTTCAGGAAAATTAAAATAATCACTTTCCCCTTCTACCCTACCATATATTGTAAAAGGCAGATCCATCTTAATTTATGCACCTCCAGGGCCTCTCCAGTAGAATCATTAGCACCCCCCACCCACCCTCATTTTGTGAAATGCTGCATTAGAGGAACATGTGTATATCAAAATATCCACCTTGAATGAGTAACTTTGTTATTAGAGGTGTCCCCAATATTTGGATATGAGGGGGGAAAACTTCACCTTTTCTACTTTTTTTTTTATAGAAGGTGACTTAAATCACAAAACTGCATCTATTTGTATGTTGTTTTTCACAAAATGGTTATTCATATATGTTTTTCAGAAAATGTCTCTCATTTCTCTTACCTTCACTCAGCTGTTCCATTGACTGTTTGGAAACCAGACTGGACAAAGACTCTACCACAGTGCTTCTTTTCCTGAATCTATGTCAGCCAGCCATGGGAGAAAAACAACAACATAGGATAAGTGAATTTCAACAGGCATTCACATTTATCAAAATACACTGTGATTATTAACACCCCCAAACTTTAGAGAGAGATTTTATAGTCATTCTTTAAAAAAAGGAATGTTACTTACTACCGGGACTACAGTTTTAGTATATATTCCCATTCTTGACATACACAGAAGCCTAGGAGTCCATGCAACCTTAATTTGCCCCCATTGTGTATATGCATTATGATACAGTCTTTAATGACATGATCACACACATTTTTTTCCACAGGACCCCCTCCTTCTTCAATGCAAAGAACTGAAAATGCTCTGGGGATGAATCAGGGTGTTGTAATAGAGATTTTAATTTTGCATGCCTCAGTTTCTGAGTGCCCAATCTGAGATACCAATATGGGCCTGATTTTCAGACGTGCTGAGCACATGTAGCCCCCAATGAATTCATCTGGAAGGGTGGACACTGAACACATTTGAAAAACAGGTATTAGGTATCTAAAGCTGGGAACTCCAAACTGTGAACCTTTGAAAATTAAGGCCTACTTGCACAACGTGACGTAAGTGCTGACACACATAACAGAAAGCAGACTCCTTCCTTGACAATTCTTGCTTCTTACTATTTTTCCCCAATGAAGACTGCCTTCTTATGGGAACACATTTCTCATCATGCCTTTCGATGGGTTTGCCCTTTAAATTTGGCAAAGACAAGAAGCTGCAGCCCTAGACTGGATGTTTTGCAGCTAGCTGTTGTAAATGTAAACCTATGTTTCTCTCAGTTTTCTTTTTCTTATTGCTGAGAGGACTAAACACTGTTACACACCAAGCTGACAAATCAAGTCCATGGCAGAGGCAGAAACAGAGGCTACATTTCTTGATTGTTAGTCCTATGCCCTAACTATAGGGCCACAATGTCTCCATAGGTTCAGCGAAGAACATAAATTCAGAAGTTTTTTAATCTGAAGATGTATCAACCTCTTGTCTAGATATTTTGCAAAATCCACCTCCCGTGAAAAAACTCCAGTACAGTAACTCCTTACTTAAAGTCATCCCAGTGAACGTTGTTTCGTTGTTACATTGCTGATCGATTAGGGAACATGATCGTTTAAGTTGTGCAATGCTCCTTTATAACGTCATTTGGCAGCCGCCTGCTTTGTCCACTGCTTGCAGGAAGAGCAGCCCGTTGCAGCTAGCTCGTGGGGGCTTGGAACCAGGGTGGACCAGCAGCCCCCCTATCAGCCCCCCGCTCCCCTAAGTTCCCTGTGTAGCAGCCACCCAGCAGGCTATCAATTGCTGGCAGTTCAGCTGTCATGTGCTGCTCCTGCCCTCTGCCTTGGAGCTGCTCCCTGAGCCCCCTGCTTGCTGTGCGGGGGATGGGGGGGTGGCTCATGTCAGGGTGTCCCCCTCCCCCTTGCTCCTGCACCCTGCTTACCATCTCCACAAAGCAGGGGGGACACACATGACATGACAGGGCTCAGGATGGAGGGAGCTTCCTGGCAGCAGATGTGGTCTCACCTTGCTGATTAACTTAACAAGGCAGTGTACTTAAGAGTGGGTCAGCGTACTTAAAGGGGAAATGCGCATCTCTCTCTCTCTCTCACACACACACACACACTCACTGTGTGTCTCTGTCTGTCTGCCATGCTGTCTCCCCTCCCTCCATTCCTGCTGCCTTGTAGAGTGTGAGGCTACATTAACAACAGGTTAACCCTTGAGGGCTCAGCCAATTACTAGTTCGTTATTTAGCAGTAAGGCATTCCCTGGGAAATATCCCAGCCTCTGACTTCACCACCTCAACCAAGATCCACAATAATCATTGCTGTGTACAGTATTCAATTGTTTGTTTAAAACTTATACTCTGTATGTGTGTGTGTGTATAATTAATATAGTCTTTTGTCTGGCAAAAAAAAAGTTTCACTGGAACCTAACCCCCCCATTTACATTAATTCTTATGGGGAAATTGGATTCGCTTAACATTCTTTTGCTTAAAGTCGCATTTTTCAGGAACATAACGACAACGTTCAGTGAGGAGTTACTGTAGAGGACAGCTTTGCTCAGGTTACTTCAGTCCTCCGACTTCCAGTCAAAACCAGGAAGCAAAGAAAGGCACAAAATAGTTAACTGGAGGGGGACGGTGCACGTATGTTTACTGTAAAGGAAATTAAATGTTTGAAATTTCAAGACCAAAAAGGTGAGTTCATTTTTGGGTGAAGGTTCAGGTCAGCTCTTAATTTTTCAAAATATATGGTCCATCTATGAACACAACAATACAAGAGGACAGGATTTCCATAATGACACCAGGAAAAACACTGAATACCATATTTTCAAACAATCAGAAAATAAGGGCTGCACGAAATCCTGTGCCCAAAATGCGTACAGAATTACTGTAACTGCATGTAGAAATTGCCTATTTGCTTGTCTACATGGCTAGTTAGATACTTAATTAACATTTGAGTCTACAAATACCTGATCTCGATTGAGTCTTCAGGATTTACCAGAATACCTAGTTCCATAATATGCTTTGTTCTGTCATACCCAACTTAATCTCCCATCATGCTTGCTCCATTCTGGAACGGTGGTCAAGTACTGATTTGTGCTGACAAAGTAGAAGCTTGACATATACGAATGCCTATTTTATTTAATATCTGTCAAAATGTAAATTGCTTAGGCTTACCTTTGGCAGGTGTGTAAAGCTTCCTTCATTGTAGAAATCCCCATTTGGATATCCTGGTGCTCGAAGGTCATAGCAGCCTGCATAACTAAAATAGTGCTGTAGCCAAGGGCATGGTACATGCTGTCTTTAGACCTGGGGCAAACATACAAATCTTATGCATTTTAGCCAAACAAACAAATTAAAAAAAATACATCATATTCTTCAGCACCAAAAAGCAAAGTTAAGTTTGCTCAATGGTGTCTTGTGTCCTTCCAGAACATTGTGACCATCAAAACAACCTCTGAAAACCAGGAAACACATAGTAAACACAACTTTAACTCTGGCCCACCTGGAGATGGCAAATGCCATCCACCTGCATCAACTGGTGGGGGAACTTGATGGGGCAGTGAAAGAGGACAGTCCAGTAGCAAGTGAGGGAGACACTTGCCAAGGGATAATAGGTAGCTGCTCCCCTGCAAGTCTCTGGCACCCACCGGCTGGCTGGGGAAGAAGAGTATTGATTGGCTAGCATTTTCCAGCTCCCAAGATTTTCCTCAGCGTAGGAGCCATGTGGAGCCTCTTTTGGCTCTGTTCCAGCAGCCCATCCTACCCACCCAAACTAGGAGTGGGAACCCAGTCTGATAGATGCTGAGGATCTAGCAGATCACCTGTTTAGAGCGTCAGGAAGGAATTTTTTCTCCCATGGCAGAGGACCAGAGAATTATTTGCCTTCCGCACAGCACTTTCAAGCCACAGCAAATTAAGTAGGAATGCACTTGGGACCTAACTAAGGTGCTGGGGTGGTGTTTATTTGTCGCAACTGCAGCCGGTTTCCAGTGCAGTTCAGAAAATCAAATGAACAGTTCTCAGAGGTAAAAGACCTGGGATGTTGATGATGGGCTTTGGGCTCATGTGATAGGCTGAGCCTTGTGGGCCAAGGTCGGACCTTGTGGCCCTTGCAGTACAAGGTCCGTACCCTGATGTACCCTCTGATCCTCATTGGGATCATCATGGTGTGTGCTAGAACTCAGAGAGAGCTGAGTCCTGAAGGTAGGCTAAGGAGAGCGTACCCTGCATTATGGATTATACAGTAAGGAGCCCTGTAGCCCTGGCTCTAGTTATGGGTTATATGGTAAGGAGCCCTATAACCACTGCATTGGAACCAATTAAATACCTGGTATAGGAGAGTATGGGTGATGGATAGGTAGCATCCCTCTCCTGTGATAAAATGTAATAAAAGTTGCAGCCTGCTGTTTAGTTCCATGCATGTGTCTGTCCTCATTTTGCAGCTGTATCCACATCAATAGCCACTGGGAACTATCAGTGTGCATTCCACCTGCATTAATTGTGTTAAATATAGCTGTACTGGATAGAAGCATTCATTCAGAGAAGTTTGGCAGAGCTGAGACTGTGATATCTGGGGGACCCTTCTTCTCGGGGGGGAGAGGGGGGGGAAGGGAACTGAGTGCCTCATTGCCCTCCTGTATGTGAACAAAGGGAAGAGGTGTATGCATACCTGGAGAGATCCAGTATGCCTCAATTCAGCACTGAGTGCTGTTATATCAGTAGCATTGTACAGGAACCTCTTTGCCATGCAGATTATTACCAGTGAGATGGGATATGAGAGTACTCTCTGGGTTTAATGTTGGGTAAATTAAAATATATTGTCACATGTAATTCTGTGGTAAGAGTGAAGAGGCTATAAAAGGGGATGAAAAGGTTGTAATATGTAGCAAGTTAGTTTCTGTGGGGCTGGCTCACTGTTTGAGTGTAGGACAGGTGTTTGTAGCTTCTGTTCAGAACAGCTCACCTAAACATAAGTTTTGCCTTAGCAAAGACAGGGCATTAAATTCTGTGCTATCGTGGTCATATACCCTATTTCCTGAGTAATTTGTACTATCTGAAAGTGCGAGAATGTGTGTTACGGGCGTATTAGGGCATTGCTCAAAGAGGGCTCAGTTAAGGCTGTGTTAGTATCTCTAGTGGGATGGCTACCCCAGTCCAGGAGAAAATGGGTTAAAGTAGGCCAGAGAGGCTGCACAGATGGGCAGCCAATCAGGGCCAGGCTGAGCTCTATATAAAGGCTGCAACACAGAGGAGAGGGGAGTCTCCCCCTGACCAGCAAGGGAGAAGGACTGGCTCTTGGGAGAAGGAGCAACCAGCGGGTGGTGCCACAGTGGTGAGCAAAACCCATTACAGTATCTAAATTAACTCTATTTCCTGGTTTTCAGAAGTTTGAGTTTTGCTGAATATGAAGCTCTGGAAGGGCACAAGACAAACAGGCAAATTTACCTCTGCTTTAACAAAGTTTTTTGCCAGTGAATCTCCCACTGTTTTGAAGTTTGGAGTTTTTGTTCATCTGGTGTTACTTTTGTAGGAGTTAGGCTGTTTTAGTCTAAAGGTAAAGAATGATATGTGATTCCTAAGCATTCCTCCCCACTCCTGTACAGTTTGCTCCTGTAGAAGGGTGATGATGGTTATGCTTTGAAATGTTTGGAGTTGCCAAGGGGACAGGGAGAGAAATCACAGACATGACTATTACCCAAAATCTTGGCAGTTTTATTCCACATTGGTTACAGTAATGGGTCTCAATCTTTCCAGACTACTGTCCCCCTTGATTTGTCTTATATACCCCCAAACTTACACCTCCCTTAAAAACTACTTGCTTACAAAATCAGACATAAAAATACAAAAAAGTGTCACAGCACACTATTACTGAAAAATTTCTTATTTTTCTCATTTTTGCCATAATTGTAAATCAATTGAAATATAAATATTGTACTTACATTTCAGTGTATAGTGTATATAGAGCAGTATAAACAAGTCATTGTCTATATGAAATTTTAGTTTGCATTGGTTTCGCTAGTGCTTTTTCTATAGCCTGTGGTAAAACTACTCAAATAACTAGATGAGTTGATGTACCCCTGGAAGACCTCTCAGTACCACTGGTTTACAGTAACTTTAAGCATGTGAGATAAGACCAGTGTATCTCTCTTCTTCTTTATCTCCTTCCCTCACTATCCTCATATAGGTGACACACCAATATTTTCATAACCCTCCCTTTCCCATCCTATTAAGCCATTAGCCCATAAAAGTTGTTCCTTGGGCCGAGCACCTTCTGCTGTTGCATACATATATCACAGGCTGCAACTTATTAGGGAGTCACACACTTCTTTGGTTATAAAGGTTGAGCTATACATTCAGCCAGTGCCCTCACTGTTCTCCCCAGCAGACCCTTCCCCTATTCTGGCCAGGCCTCCGCAGTCATGCCCTTAGCCCACCCAGTCCTCCCTGACTCCAAGCCAGCCCCCACCCACTCCACCACACATAAGGGCAGCATGTACTTTCAGTTTGTATTTTCTAGTTTTTGGATGTTTAAATCTGTGTTACTTTCAGGAGCCTCTCAGATCGCAGCTCACATGGGGGAGGGTGAGTAGGGCTCAGAGTCCCCCTTGAAGGACAGAGATGCCTAGATCCTGGAACACATACAGGGAGAATGGCTCAGATTCTCTCCCATAGAGCCAGGGCACACCCAGAACCTGGCTTCCCTGTGGGGAGAGGGAAGAGAGAGGGACTCAAGTAGCAACATGCCCAGGAATCACTCATATATCTGCACAGAGCATGTGTAATTTATTATCTTTCAGAAAACAGTTACCTTTACCTGTTAGCTGTACAAATTAGCAGGGCACATTTCCAGAAAACAAAACAAAAACCCTTGAGAGAGGTCAATTGTTGACATGTGCATACATTCAATCTCCGATTTCTGCTAAGGATAGGATTCAAATTTACAGTGCAGGGGCAACTCAGCGTCGGTGACCACAGTATGTTGCACTGAACCACCAAATTACTGTGACAACTGGCTGCCTGCAAACCCTCTTGTATAGTCTTGCTACACATGTACATCCAATCGCTTTGGGGTGAGAGTGTTTGGTACATACCATTCTAGAGAGCTAAACTCTTTCTTTAATAAGGTTTTAAATATTGCTTTCCCAAAAGGGGCAACGAGTGCCATGCACTAACTAAGATAAATGTCAAGCAACTGAGATCAGTTGGAGGACAAAGTCATGGGTTGAGCCCTAGCTATGTGCAAAAATTTACAAGAACTCGTTGACTTTGTAAAATACTGTTTTTTGCCGGGGGCTGTATCTCAGGAACCCCTTGGTCAGATGACTCCAAATTTGGATCACCAATCCTATCTGTACCCTCATTGGGTGCAGCAAATTTCAAGATAACTGAGTAAGCTTGCAGATTTTAGAGCCCTCAAGAATCATCCTTTAAACAGGAAGCATTCCCAACTTTAAGTATATTTTACATGCATGCACTCACTCACTCATAAACAAAAGCATCCCCATTTCTTTCAGATATTCCTTTCTAGTCAAAAGATTGTTCCTATTATCGTTAAAGGAGGACCCATGTGGTAAATCATCATACTACAGGAATAGATTTATTTAATAGAGAAAATCTTTCTACTAAATTAAGCCTTTATAATTGTACTTTCATGCTGATTTTCTTGATGGGTGGAGGTGGCAGGGAGGAACAGGGAGAACTAGAAGGAAAATAAGTTTTTCAAAAGTCGGAGTTAAAACTAAATCCTGCCAACTGCTGTGCTGTAAAGGGAGAAGAGCAGCTCATCTCCAACTTCCAGGTAACACACATACCGCCATCACGGAAGTATCAAAGTGCACTCCACCGCATTCCTCTATCCTGGCCTATTTTTTGAAAAACAGCCATATTTTGCAACAAGTCTTTTGTAACACATACAAGATGACAGAATTTCTGCTCTCCCCCCTTCCTTCACTGCATCTGCAAGGACTTGATTTAGGCCTTAGAATTACGACTAAAATAAAACAAAGTCCCTGGGTTGACTGACAGGGTTTGTAACTTCAGTATGTTTAAACAGAAACAGTATATACTGGGGAAGCAATGCAGAATTGCTTTGGTCAGGAGAGATAAAATGGAAGTAATGAAAGCTACTATATTCAGAGGTCTTAGATTAGTGCTCAGCAACCAGATGGCATGCCTTACAGTATCTGTCCTCATTAATTCTAACAAACAAAATGAACTCACCATGGCCGAAGTAATTCCAGGGCTTCAGAAAATTTATTATTTAGAAATAAGTTCAGTGCCATTGAACATTCTTCCAGCGCACACTTGAGATCCATCTTGGATGCCCTAATAAAAACATACAAATATAAAAAAAAGGGGAAAGGATAAGTATTCGAAACTGTATTCAATAGTAATCTTTGCTTTCAGAGCTGAACACAAACTGCATCACAGCCCAACTGTTCCCTAATCTTTTATGCTTAGTTTGTTACTTTAAATTCCTAAACAGCTGTTTAGGATGTAAGTTGCTGCAGAACTGTTTGCATTAATGGATTCCTCTAACCCTTTTTTAAAATGAGAAATAATCAAAGGATAGAAATTAGTTAATTTCAGAAACTAATTAATAGCTTCTTTCCTTTAGATTTACAGTATGTGTTCCAAAAGCCATGTAGGTAGCTATTTTATAGTGGTTTTTTTTAAAAAAACCTATTTATAATAATTGACTCTTACAAAAATGTTTTGTATCAGTTTTCTAACAGCCATTGCTTTTATTCTGTGGGTTTGTTTTCTTGCTGTAAGGATGCTGATGATCTTCTTTGTTTACCATGACATATGTCATGCCTTCCTGGAATTAGCAGTCAATATGAAACGCAATCTTTTATCAATTACTATTTATACAATACTGTAAATATACAAAATACTTAACTAGTCCAAGCTCTGAAGAGTTTGTAGTCTAACTCAGGAGAAATACAATACATAGCACCAGATTCTATATTGACTGCCATGTCTATGAAGGTATGGTTTTTTTTGTTAAACAGACTGACAAATCTTTATCAACTGACAAAGTCTAAAGGAGTTTGGTCTGAGTAAGGACACCAGATTGGGCATTACAGTGGGCTTCACCTGAGTAAAAGAGGTTAAGCAAAAGAGAAGGCAGCAATCATGTCAGTGAGATTAACTTCCAAGCAGTAAACAGAAAAAGAGGACCTTATGGAGGAATTCAAAAAAGAGATTTCTTGGTGCACATGAATTGTGTAACTGTTATAAATATAGGCATACAATGTATGGATCAGGAGAAAGACAAAGGTGAAATGTGTGTTTTTTTTTACATATCTCCCTACCTGAAAATCCAGGTGTTCTTACTTACCATGAGTCTAACTGTGAAGGAAGGAAACCTACTTACTTCTAATAATGGATGAAAGTAGTTAAGAATCTAATGATTTTTAATTGTCTTATCCCAGACCCTTTTAGGGCTATGACCAAGTATTGGGTCCCATTGGGAAGTCACAAATTTCCCCTTTCTGCTGATTAAATCTCCCATTTCTTTTACTGGAAGGTCACAGGACAGTTTAAAACTGACATCTTTATTAAAATAAAACCTGTATCTGCTCAAAGGCCAATTCCTACCTATTCTGGGTCTTGGATCCAGTGTGATATCCAAGTGTTATAGTTTTTGAGCCCCAGCTATGTGCAAAAATTTTCAAGAACAGTGTGGCCAGTGTTATATTTTTCTGAGTGAAATTCTGTTTATGAAGAAAAGAAGGAAATGTACAATTCTTTGACTGGTTTTTAAAAAATATTAACAATTTGAAGATGTTCAGATGTTTGGAATGTTAGAATAAATTGTGGGGATATGGATTAATGAGCAGAGCACAGATCTAGTTGTTAAAAGGTACAAGATAAATTAATTTATCATATGGCTCTGCAATTTATTATATAAATATCCCTTTCATGTGTGTGCACTTAAATATTCTACCAAATTATTAAATTTCAATTGAATAAGGTAATAGTTCTCCAATACAATTAAGAGAACTATGAAAGAAAATAAATACAGAGAACTGACAGGAGGGAATTAAGCTAACAAATAGATAAGATATAGTATAAACAACTTTAGCAGAAGTACTCCTCTGATTCAACTGTTCCAAGAATCAAAGCCTGCTGTAGTCCAAGGCTTATTGACTTCAATGAACTTTAAATCAGGCACTTTGACATTATGCTGTTGGAAATACCTTATGTAGCAATACAAGTTATCTCCTTGGCAACATGTTGTGTGATTTTACACATTATATGGTGTTACCCTCACAAATAACTTGAGACATCTACCACATTGTTCACAAATTCTGAAAATGTTATTTCCCAAGGAGGCCTGTGATATTAAACATTCTACCTTTAACTGTACGTCTGACTTTAAAGGAAAATTGATACAATTTTCTTCATGAATCATGCTTTCCTCTTTCAAAATATGGTCAGTTTGAGCTCCCAGCTACATGCTTCTCAGATGCATCCTAGAACTACTATTTTCCCCCCACTATCAGTTGACAAATATCATACAGATGACTTTCATATATTATGATCATCCTCCAATCTTCTCCCCAAGTCTTTTATTCTCTTGTGATGTTATTTTAATTAACTGTATTAAAATTCTGCATAATGACTGCACGAGCTTCTATATTCTACCCCTCAGAAGCCAAATTTTCCTCTCAATTATATCAGTATATTGAAATTGCTCTGGTATAAAAGAGTTTGGCCCTATGTATATTTGTATGTAATACATATATATGTATATATCCCCTGTCACAGGAGGAATGGAACAAGGTTTGAAGGAAAAGAGGAAGAATTGTAGACTGCACTGATTGGTATAAATTATGCTTCCCACTCTACTGCTATTATATCAGTCATTATGGACCCAGTATTACAGACCACAATCATTAAAAAATCACAAGGCCATCCCCCTAAAAATCATGAGATCAGCTTAAAAGTCATGAGATTTAAAAAAATTAATAAAAAATCTATTCTAGTTATCTAATGTACTTATATGACCTCCATTTCCATAGTATCTGAGCACCTCTTAAACTTTAAGGTACTTCTCCTCACAACACCCCTTTCAGGTATGGAAATGCTATTATCCCCATTTTTCAGATGGGGAACTGAGGCACAGAGAAATTCAGAGTATATCTACACTGCAATAGAATACCCATGGGATGGCCCCAGCTGACCCAGGTCAGCTGACCTGGGCTCACACGGCTTGGGCTGCAGGGCTCTAAAATTGCAGGGTCTAAGAGCTCAGGCTCCAACCAGAGCCGGAATCTTTATACTGCAATTTTAGCTCTGCAGCCTGAGCCCTGCAAACCCATGTTAGCTGACCCGCGCTCTGAGATTCAATGCAGTGGGTTTTTTATCAGTGTACACATTGACTTGCTCAAGGTCATGCAGCTAGCCTGTGGCAGAGCAGAGAACTTAACCCTAGTCTCCCAAATTGCAAGCTTAGTGCTCTACCCATTGGATAATCCTCCCTCTCACTTTTTCTTTGCCTTCTGGCTTTTTAGCCTTTAGGGTGATCTCACTTCACTTTTTCAAGCTTTTGTTCAGCAACCAGGAGGATTAGGAACTTATTTTTTAAAATGAAAGTTGAAATTCCAACTACCCCATGCTTCCAGCTGCTTGGGCTTTAAGAAAAACACTAAATTACTAGATGCATGATAAAAATAATGCGTTAGCAACACTGTGGGCTCCAATCATGATCCCCAAGCTAGACTATGTGATAATACTTGTTGTCGTCATCAGTTGGAAAATGGTACCATCATTCTAGCAACCCTGAGAGTCTCAGGCAATTTGGGATTTACTATAAATAGCCATCAAAATAATCATTCAGAATTGGAAGAATACTTCAAAAATTCAGATAAATTATTTTATTCATTCCATTTTCTTGCCTCATAAATTTGGGATGTTATGCTCTTAAAACAGATGTTCTTTATCTTCTGGAGTTACAGTAGATCAGCCTCTACCTCTACAGTAAACTGGGGTACGATCATTATTCTCCTGGTCCTCACTGGAAAAAGAGAATGGGAGGGAGCTGAGACCCAGAATGGTCCCTTTGCCCCTCTCTTTCTCCTTCCTATGAAGAAAGAAAAGAGGAGGGAGATGACTATCCACTCTCTCTGCTGAAAGGTGATAAACTATGTTGACAGGCACTGAGCTGCAGCATTGGGAGCACAGAAACCATTGTGGTGCCATGGACAGCATAGGAAGTTCTTGCTGCTGCTCAGAAGGCCTAGCCACAACTTTGCATACTTTGAAATAGAAGACAGTAAGGGTACGTTTACACTGCAGCTAGAGCATGCCTCTCAGCCCAGACATGCTAAAAACAGCAGGATGGACATTGCAGCACGGATGGCAGCTCAGATTAGCTGCCCGAATCCAAGACCGCCTAATCCCCTTTATCCAAGTTTGGATGGCTAGCCTAAGCCACCACCCATGCCACAATATCCACGCTGCTATTTTTAGCACACTAGCTCAAACAGAGCTAGCATAAGTCTAACTGGACTGGGAGGTATGGTTTGAGCTGCAGCGTAGACATACCCTAAATTTGCAACACAAAAGGATCTTCAAGTCTAAGAGCACAATTCTGCAAGTCATTGCCCACACAAGTAGAGTGCAAGGAAAATTATTTATGTGAATAAGGGCTACTAATGTGAGGAAAAAGTTGCTGAATTGGAGATTAAATTAAACAAAATAAGGGTAGATTTTCAAAAGCGCAGGGCCAGATTTCAACATCCTCAATTAGGGCCAGTTTTGAACAGAGCCCAGCTCCCATTTAAACACATAAATTAGAGCCACATTTCCCAAATGCTAAGCCAACAGCCATTCTCATTATGACAATTAAGGCTAGATTTTCAGAATTGCTCAGTACTTCTGAAAATCTGGTCACTTATTTTGGTGCCTAAACAGGAGCTAAGCTCTTCTGAAAACCAAGTCCCAATTATGGGAGTCAAGCTCTTTTAATAGCCTGACTCATAAAGGAAGAGTGAAAATAACAATATAATGTGAATATGCATTGCTATAGTTTGGCATCTAATAGTTCCAGAATTTACTATTTTTGGTATGCTCTGTTCAAGAATTATGCTTAACCTACAGTCTTAAATAGAGTATTTGGTTTTACAACAGAATTTCTTCAGTGTTAATCATGAGTGTGAGGGCACATCTCTCTCTCTGAATTCAGTGGGAGATTTGCACAATTAAGGGCTGCAGGAGCAGACCTCAGTTTAGGCATGACAGCAGGCTGCCTATAGTTCCATTCAAAGAACTGCTGCTCCCATTTAAATTAGTAAGTGTTTTACCATTCCCTTCAA